AGAAGCTGTGCCATGCCTTGTCGCCAGCCCCAGCATGAGTGAAGTGGGTACTTGGTGGGGCATGAGCCAAAGGGGGTCAGCTTGTGCCCCTGTTGAAGGCAGTGCCCTCCTCTTGCCCCTATATCTCTTCCCCCACAGGCTGACAAGCTGGAGACACTGGGATCCCTGGTACCTGGCTTACCCACTGCTGTCCTCCGTGCCCTTTCCCCTGTGAATGCCACTTGCCTTGCCAGAATTCCCACCTTCCTCCGTGGCCTCCGAGATACCCCCACCTATCTGAAGAAGGTCTTTACTGACAGGGTAAGTCTGGGCTGTGGATGCACTGGCTTGGGATTAATATTGGGGTGACATCCTAGCTCAGTGTGCCCTGGAAGAGTGACACTTCCAAAGAGTGCTTCTTGGCGGGGTGAATTTGGGAGGGAGAATACAAATTTTCTTCAGCAGGGTGAGTCTGAAGGACTTGGAACTAGCAGGAATCAGCTGCCCCCTACCCTTACTGCCACTTGCCCAGACTGGAGGGCAGAAGACCCAGCATACAGCATTTTTCCAGTCGTCTAGTCTAGCATTACCCAAAGGACCAAGAGTGCTGGGTAGGGTAGGAAAAAGAGCTGAGCAGTTTGAGTTTAGAGACATGAAAGAAACAACGTGTATAATATATGCTAGGCTCCACTGCCTGTGTGGCTTTAGGCACACCATTTAATCTTTCTGTAAAGTTTCTTCATCTGCAAAATGAGAGGAATATTCTAAATGCTTCAGAGGTCTCTTCCAATATCTAGTATCCAGTATTCTTCTTTGTAACTGACATAAGAAGTCTCTTTTCTTGCTTTATGGATAGCATCATAAGGGAATTCCTTATCTCTGTCTCTGTCTTTGTCTATCTCTCTCTATCCCCATCTCTATCTCATCTCTGTCTCTATTTCCACCCCATCTCTATTTCTATCTCTGTTGCTGTCTGTCCAGCTATCTCCCTGTGATTTCACCTGAATCACCTGTATATGGCACTCTGGGTTGAATCGTTAGAGTTGCCTGGAAACAATGAGAGATTAAGTGATATTATACTTAATATACTACAGGACTGGACTGTTTAATTATTCCTTCGCTTTGCCCCCAGTTGGGTTATAATGTGATTCCAATGATCTCCATGAAGGGCGCATCTGTGGTATAGCGGGAAAAGCACAGGAAAAGACCTGAGTTTGACTCTTACTAAGTGATGTAATCCAAGTGTGTCCTTGGACAAATAACGTCTCAGCCTCAGTTTCCTTCTTTGTAAAATGAAGGGGTCAGACCAGTGGCCACCAAGGTCTCTTCCAGTTTTAATTCTGGAGTTCTGTGATCCAATGTGTAACATCCAAAGCTTCTTCCTCTTGTCTTGTGGACAGAATCATCAGGAGTTTCTGTGCCCTTTTTGGCAGAGAACAGAAAATGTCAGAACCTTAGAACATAAAACAGTAGGTCATGGGGTCAGAGATTTGAAGTTGGAAGGGACTTCAGAAACCATCTAGTCGAACGTCTTTATTTTACTGATAAGGAAACTGAGACCAAGAGGTGGTGATTCCCAGAGTCACAGAGGGTGTAAATAAGCAGAGTCAGGATTCGAACCCCAGCTCCTCTGACTCCAAATCTATTACTATTTAATTTGAAGAGACCTTAGAATAGGGTCATAGAATCTCCCACTTCCTTTGAGGCGCATCTCAAACACCACTTTTTACATGAAAACTGTCCTGATGCCTATGCTTCCCCCTAACTCCCTACTGCTGATACTCTCCTTCCCTAACCGCCTTGTATTTATTCTGGATGTATTTATCCCATACACACTTATATTGGCACATGCCATCTCCTGAGATAGAACGTAAGCTGCTCATGAGCAGAGATTGTTTCATTTTTGTCCTGTGCTCCGCACACAGCGATTGCATGTTAAATGCACATTGACCGATTCATTGATTAAGTAGAACGTAGAAAGTGGAATGTCAGAGATAGAAGGGACATTAGAGATAGCCCTGTCCAATCTTCTTGTTTTCCCCTTAAATGGGGAAGTGGTTAGTCCTAGGTCATAGGGTAAATTAGGAGCAGATTCAGTACTAGAGTGCATGTTTTCTGATTTCTATTCCAATGCTCCTTCCACTAGACTCTACTGTTTTGTTTTGTTTTGTTTTTGGCTAGGCAGTAGGGTTAAGTGACTTGCCCAGGGTCACACAGCTAGTGAGTGTCAAGTGTCTGAGGCCGAATTTGAACTCAGGTCTTCCTGAATGCAGAACCAGTGCTCTATCCACTGCATCCCTAGACTACTTTGAGTAGATGTTTCAAGCCTGCTTCTTCCAGGAAGCCTACCTTCATTAATTACTGTTCTCCTTATTACCTTGCATATTACTTCGTCATACCTCAATCAATATTTGTTGGCCACCCGATAAGATGACTAGAAACAAATTATATTCTTAAGGCCCACAAGATTTAAATGGTACCTGCTGTCACCCAGCTTGTCTCTCCCTGCCGAATCCCTTTTTCCTGAAACCGAGGTATTTGTCTGTGGGACTTTTTTCCTCCCCAGAGACATTGAGGATGGCTGGTGAGTGCAATAGTAGGAGCTGAGGAACAGGGAGTCAGGAGACTCGGGTTCTGGTTCTGGCTCTGACATCCAACTTGCTATGTGATCTTAGATGAGTCCCTCATCTTCTGTGCCTCACACAGCCCTTAGGGGCAGGATGAGGGCCCGGAAGGAATGGGAAGGGAGCTCTCAGAGGAGTCACACTGGGTAGATGCGAGGTCATTAGAGTAGCAAGATGACAGCAATGTCAGGGTGACAGGAAACATCCATAGCAACTGAATTTGCCTCCTAGATTGTCCTTCACCTGCTGCCCATCGCCAGAATTGTGGAGATCGTGCCCCCTGAGCTGGTGACCCAGATCGCCAGCTCCTTCCTGCTTTGGGACAGTCTCACTACAGCCAGCCTTTAAATCATCAGTGAGCAACCATGGGGACCAGAGCAGGTGAAGTCTGAATGTTTATGTTATATTCCCCATATGGGCAAGGAAAATTACACTGCCGTGGGCCATAGCTTGATCTTCAAACTACCCTGCCCCCATTCTCCCCTGCCCTCTCTTGCCTAGAGTACTCTGTGTCCTATTCTTCCAAAGGGATGGGCTTTCGAACAAGGGCAGTATCTCTTTTCTGTTGTCCATACTAGTAGTGAGGTGTAGGACATGAATTTTGGATAATCTGCTTCTTTGGGTCCTCTGAGGTCACAACTTTTCTCAACCAGGACAGAGGATAGGATGGTGGTGGTAGTCCTATCCATCTGGCCTCATGCAATGGGACCCTAAACTCTCTGAGGGCAGGGACTGTAGAGATCAATCCTTGTAGAACCTTGGATGGTGGTGATGTGGTGGTAATGATGATGATGATGATGATGATGAAGATGAAGATGATGATGGAGAAAATAAACCAGGGGCAAATCCAAGCTCATTCCAGATCCCAGGGAAGCCAATTACTCCAGAGGGAAAATTCAAAATGGAGTTAGAATGGTCTATTTGATTTCTTCTAGAGTGTTTCCCATTAGGGCATCTCTTCTTCCAGGTTGCCCCCTACTTCCTGGTTCTTTTTCCCCAGATTATTCCTTCTTCCAAGTTTTTCCTCTTCCCAGGATATCACTAGGTGTCCCTTCTCTCAGGTTATCTTTCCTCTAAATATATCCCTCTTCCTAGCATGTCCATCTCCCTTTCTTCCGAGTTATTCCTCTTCCCAGATTGTTCCTGTTCCCAAGCTATCCCTCCTCTTAGGCAATCCCCCTTCCCAGGGTACCAATCCTACAGTTCGTTGCTTCTCCCAGGTCATCCCTTTCCCCAGTTTACCTCTTCTCTCAGGGCATCCCTCCTTCCAGATAATCCCTCTCCCCAAGATGTCCCTTCCCCCAAAGTGCCAGTCCTTCTAGGTACTCCATCCCTCTTCAGTGGTCATTTTAGAAAGAAACGGAGAGAGGCATGGTAATGGAAGCAGACACTCATCTCTCTTCTCTCATTTGGCCTCTAAAGTCAGGCTACATTGCTGGTCTGACCCAGCCCAAACCCTCCCACCAAGGCTTGGATGTTTGTTGGGCTCTCCTGAAGATGGGTAGATGGGGCATTATTAAAAAAGGTCATAATTGGGGCCAATTCATCCTGATCACCATCTTCACTATACATAGGTCAATCACCCAGTCTTCACTTAGCACCCCAGCATGTCTAGTTCAGTGCTGGACACTGTAGGAGAGATTGGGAAGGAGCCTTTGCCCTTTAGGAGCCTAGGGCCTGAGGGAGAGAGGAGACAAGAACAGACCCAGACCCTGCTTTCAGAGAGGCCATAGTCTAGGGGAAGCATAGAAAAAATAGACAAAGAAAAAGAAAAACAAACAGATTTGCCTTTTGGGAGCTTAAAGTCTAAAGGAGGCCAAAGAAAAGTGGGTCTAGACCCTTTTCTTGGGGAGCTCAGAGTTTAGAGAAAGCAGAAAAAGAACAGATCCAAGTCTTTCCCTGATGAAACTTGAAATCTGGAGGAGATGAGGAGGAACAGACATAGGCCCTGCCCTCAGGGAGGTCACAGTCAGGGGGAGACAGAAGAAAAACAGACTCAGCTCCTATCCTTGGGGAACTCACAGTCTTGGGGAGGCAGGATTAATATACAGAGGTCAAGGAGAGAATAATTCAGTGCTAAACTCTGGGGTTTGGATTCTAAGGGCAAAAAGGAGTTATAAGAAGGGAGAGATAGAACATTGTGAGATGGAATAGTCAGAGGAGGCTTTCTGTATGAGTTGAAGTGAACTGGGTCTTGAAGGACAGATAGGGTTTGTATCAGCAACTCAGGCATGGGAAGGGCATTCCTGGTGGGAGGCCAGCTTCAGCACAGGTACAAAGTCAGGAATAAGCCTGGCTTAAGGGATAGGAGGAGGGAAGGAAGTATAGAGGAACCATATTGAGGATAGGAGAAGGAAGGGTCTGATGGGATTCCTGCAATGCCAAGCTTTTTTGCTGGGACTCTTCATTGCAATCAGTACTAGCACAAAGCCTTCAGGTTATATGCTATGGAGCTAGGCTCTAGACACAGACTTTGCCTTCAGGGAACCTATAGGCTGGGCCATATTGGTCTGTGAGATGCTATGAGCCCTTCCCTTACAGAGAGAAATCCAGTCATGGGGAGTATACATGGCATTACAAGCCAGGTCCGGAATCTAGTTAGAAGGGAACAGGTCTAGTGAATGCAAAAATCTGCATGGGCCTCTAAGATTCCTAGGCTCTGGAACTTATTATCCCAGGCTCTCTTAGCTTATTTCTCTTAGGAGACTCAGAATTTTAAAGGGGCAGGGACTTTTCAAGACCACCCAGTCCCACAATCACTGAGTCAGAGCTGGAAAAGACTTCCCAGCCCCTCATTTTAGAGATGGGGACATTGGGAACCAAAGAGGGGAAATGATTTGCCCAAAGTCACTCAGCAAGGTAGTGGCAGAGCTGGGGCTGCTTCCTGATCCCCAATCCAGGGTTCTTTTACATTGGTAAAGTTCTTTACAAAATTCAATTCGATAAACATTTATTAATACTGAGGATACAAAAAGAGGCAAAAGATAATCCCTGCCCTCAAGGAGCTTACAATCTAATGGGGGAGCCAGCATGCAAACAAATATATACAAAATAACCCGTATACAGGACAAATGGGAAATCCTTAAAAGAGGGAAAGTGCTGGGACTGAGAGGCAAATACCCAGCTTCTGTCTCAAGTGACTGAGGTGAAGGAGAGAGGAATCCAGGTTTGGCTGGGAGTCCACAGTGGCAAAGGTAGAAGGGATCATCCTTCCGACAGATCAAGGTAGGGACGGGGAGGGCATGGTATAAAGTCACAGGAATTAATGGCAGAAGAGATTTTAAAGATTATAGTATCATAGGTTTAGAGCAGGGAGGGAACTCTGGGACCATCTGGTTCAATTCCCTTAATTTATAGATGAGGAATTTTAGCCTAGGGAGGCTGAGTGATTCGTCCAAGGCCACACTGGTAGTAAACACCAGAGGCTGGATTTGAACCCAGGCCTCAGTGTTCTTTCTACTTATCCCATTCTAGTCTACACCTCCCCTTTTTACAAAGGAAGAAACTGAGTCACAGGGCTAGGAAGGGTGACTGTCCTAATGTCACAATGAGTTGGTGGCAGAACTGGGATTAGAGCCCAAGTCTTTTATTTCCTCTTCCAGGTCTCTCTCCACTAAGCCAAGACAACTCTCAATAAAGGTCTACTAAAATAAAAATCATAGCAACGATAAACCCTAGCTCACACTTCTATGTTGAGTTAAAGTTTACAAAGCACTTTCCTGGTTGGAGTGTATTTGTTCCTACTTTACAGAGTAGGAAGCTGCCTGAGAGGGATGGTAAATTGCCCACAGATATGAGACCCCGAGCTCAGACCCAAATCCAATGCTCCTGACCCCAAGCTCAGGGTGTGTGAGCCCAGGTCTACCCCTTCCTGCAGGGTCCATTTCTCACAGATGTAGAACTGGGATGATGAACTGAAGGTGGGTTCTGACCCAGCCAATCTTGGGGGAAGGTGGATAGGCCAGTGAGGGATTGAAGACCCAGAGTTCCATCTATCAGTGACCTTGGAACTTACCCTAGGTGGAGCCTTCATTTTTTCCTCTGTAAGCAGAAGAGGTTGGGTTAAATGGCCTCTGAGATCCAGCTCTAAATTCTAAGATTTGGCATCTCTGCCCCAGGAATCCTCTAAGACAGAAGACTGCTGCCCCTACCCCTCTGAGAACCATATTAAAATGAAATTCTGAAATAGTTAACAAAATAAATAAAAAGGCAACAAAACCTGGATGATGTTTGTGGTTTTCTAAGCCAATAGGTGTACCGCTGGGATCCTTGTATTTGGTTATGGCCAACTCTACCCTAGGATGTCCCTTATGCTGCCACACCCTCAATAAAGCCTTAGTGAAGATGAGAGTGATGTTATCTGGGGACCCACGATGAGACTGCCCTCTGCTTGAGGGTGCAGGGGTGTGTTGTCCTAGACTGACTGGGGGGTGGGGAATCTGTGAAGGGAGAAGGTAACAGGTGTGCTTTCTTTCCAATCCTTTTCCTTCTCTCCTCCTGGCCCTGGGTCTTGTTGAGGCAGATTCTCTGGGTCCCCAGGGATGCCTGGAGTGCTGAAGAAGTGATTTACTAAATGGTCCCTGAGGGGCCCCAACGAGATAAGGGAGCTCCCCAAAGGCTGATGGCTCTCAGCTGATGCAGTGGGGTTTCTATGGCAGGTCATGTGGGCTTGGGGCCTGACCACAGCGCTGCCTGAGTTAATGCTTGCACAAGCCAATAGAAGAGGCCTGGCCTTGGCCTCATTCCACAGACTGAGCTGCAGTAGCATTACTGAAGCGACAGGAGAGGAAGGGGCTTCCTGGAGGATTCCTGGAGCAGAGATGCAGCATCCTAGCATTTAGAGCTGGAATAAAATGAGGACCCTCAGATTCAGAAACCTGCCCAAGGTTCATGCAGGTACTAAGTGACAGGGCCAAGATTCATACACAGATTCCAAAACCAGCATGTCTCCAAATCCAGGCCACCATGGGATCGGTAGGAGTGATGGCTTGAGACCGTTCTTCATGGAGGATCCTTGTCCATGGAGGATAGATAGTTATTGACTGTCCTCCATGGAGGCATTGAGGCTGTAGACCCTTCATGGAGGGTTGGCAAATCCCCCTTACGGAGAAGGATCAAGAAGTAATCCACATAGAAAAGGCCCAGTGAACGCTCCCTCGCTGAGGACTGTTCATAAATCTCTACCTATGGACAAAGGAGGTATACTCATAGAGGAGAGTTAGTGAGCTGTCCTCATGGAGAAGGTTTGGGGGGCTGTCCTACATGGAAAAACATCAGGGAGCGATCCCCGTGGACTAAGGTCAATGAATAGCATGCTTCCCATGGAACAAAGTCAGGTAATTTTCCTTAAAGAGGAAGGCTTGGAAAGGAGAGGAGTCAATAACTTATCTATCTTCCACAAACTAGCAAAGAACTATCTCTCGTGGAGAAGGGCCAGGCAGTCATTCCCTTTGGAACGAGACCCTTCTCTTCAAGGGGGATTCACTAACCCTTCTCCTTTAGGATAGTTCTCTTATCCTCCTATCCTTATGGAAGGCAGCTCCCTGATCCTTTTCCATGGAGGACAGTTCACTGACCCTTCTCCATGGAATACCATTCACTAATCCTTCTCCACAGCTGACAGTTCATAAGAGATCATTCACTGATCTTTCTCCATGGAGGACCTTTCCCTATGGTGGGGTGGTGGTGCATTTCACTGACACTCCTCCATGGGGATGGCTCTCTGATTTTTTTCTATAGCAGGCAATTCCTTGACCCTTGTCTCTGTCCTTTTAGTGAGAAGGGAAAGACATTCCAATAGTGATCTTTCAGTCCACAATACATATTGAGTATTTATTGTTTACCAAACCCTACATTGTACAAAGGGATGGGAGATAAAAGGTGGTACAGTGGATAGAGCACTGGTCCTGGACTCAGGAGGACCTGGGTTCAAATCCGGCCTCAGACACATAACACTCACTAGCTGTGTGACTCTGGGCAAGTCACTTAACCCCAATTGCCTCACATAATTAAAAAAAAAAGATACAGGGTGAGTGCCTACCTTAAGTCTGAGATCTGGTGCTGAACCATGTGGTCCTGCCCTTACGGACCTCCTGTCCTAAGGAGGGAAGTAGCATATACATGTAAGTTTGACACAAAGAAACATGCTCAGAGTATAACTGGGGACCATAATTTGTCCTGGAAAAATGAGATGTTGGACTGATCAGGTTGAGTGGGGCCAGTCAAAGAAGGTGAGCTTTTTAGGGTGAGCACTAAGGGGAAATGGTCCACTTGACCTTAAGGAGGCCATTCCAAGGGGTCCTGGGCAGCTACAGCTACCACTTGGAAGGAAGTGCCGTCTTTCTTCATGTCTGGGTTTCGTTCCAGGTTACGTAGTGTCCTGGGGCCTTGTCCTTCTTGTGTCTCTGACTGCACACTGCTCTTCTCCTCAGGCCTCGGGCTTCTTCCAGCAAGGGCTGGCCTCCAGCGTGGGCAGCCAGGTGGCCCGGTGAGTACCCCTGTTGCGGTCGAAACTTGACACTCACCAGGGCCAGGGGATCCCTGAGAATAGGAGTAGGCTGGGCTGGATGTGGCCTTAGAAGTGGGAAGTTCTCAATGGCAGAGCCAAGACAAACCTGGATAAAGCCCCCAAGTTAAGGCAATGTCCCCTGAGGGCAGGGCCAAGCTAAACTAAAACAAAGCCTCAGTGCTCCCCACTAGTATAGGGCACGGCTGGGTGAAATTGGATCCAGATTCTCTTTGATAAGGATGAAATCAGTGTTTTTCTTTGGCTCATTCAATGAAAGAGACATAGACGTCAGCAACCCAAGGAGAGGAAGAGAAAGGGAAGATCTCAGGGGAGCAATTAGTTGTTTGTGAGTTTGATAGAAATAGTCCCTTGGGAGAGAGACCATCTGGTTCCATAGGTGGGGCTGAACTTCAGGCCAATGAGGAAAGTCAAGAAGAGGAACCCAAAGGATTCTATACTCGCTCATTCAAACTCAGAAAAAGTTGCACCAGGTGGGCAGGAAGTCAGAATCACGAATTGTCAAAGCTACAAGGGACCTTAAAGGTGATTTGGTCCAGTCTCACTCATTGACCAAAGGGGTAGGGGTAGGGAATGAATTGAAGAAGGGAAATTATTTGACCAAGGTCATACAGCTGGTACGGAGCCAGGACTTGAACCCAAGACTTCTGACTCCAAATCTAGTGCTCTTTCTATTGGACCATTGGAATCATGCGCGTGTGTGAGCATCATGATGGAATGGACAAAGGCTTTGGGGGAGGGCGTGATGTAGAGGAGTGGTTATAAATAACTCTTCCTTAGGGAGCCTTTGGTCTAAATAAAAAGATGAAAACTCAGTTCGTCAATACATACAGGTCAGATAACAGGCCATCTCAGAGAAGGTTAATTTCTCCTAGACACCTTCATATGTACCTGGAGGTCGATACCAGCTGGATGGTAGTACCTACCGAACCACGGGTTCTTCCTCCCTCAGGGTGTCAGAGCACTTAGCACACAGCCCAGTAATTATCTCCCTCCCCTTTAAAATACTAGTGTCGATACTGATTAAAAGCTAATTATCCCCGTTTCCTCCAATGGCTCCTTGTGGCGTGGCAGTAATCCTGGGTCCTCAAAGACTACGCTAGGGGAAATGAAGGCTCTGGCAGTTTTTGCCATGCTGGAAACCCTCCCTGGGCAGTTCTGGCAACGGGTTGTGTCTAGTTTCTGAGCACCAGCCAGCCTGGCTGGGTATGGACGGGCTCATCACCACTTGGCTGGCCACTTGGTGATGAATTCTTTGGCTGCTTCAACCCAGAAAACAAAGATAAAAGCAAAATGGCCCTTGGTCCTGTGCAGTCTCCTTCTGTTTCTATAGCAATGGTAGCAGAGATTCATAGTTTTTAGATCATCGAACAAACAGACCGAGCTGTTGGTACTCTAAATGTGACATCCTTGTCCAGTGACCAACAAGCGGGCATACTGTTGAAGGAAGTTAATTGTACCAAGCTTGGCATTCTCGCTATAAATGAGCTCATAAGAAAAGGATGGAAAAGAATGGTACACACATTCCTCTTGGAAAGGCAAATAAGGAGGTTGGAAGAGTTGGTTTTTATCATATATCTCAAGGCATGAGATATTTCATGGGACATTTGCTCATTTCGTATTGCAGTGCTCAGGATAAATAATTGCTAATAGATCAACATGAAAATAACTGCAGCTTATGCAACATCTCTTGCAGGGGATGAAGAGGTGGAAGAATTCATGAGTAGTTTTATAACGCCCTCCAAATTAAATCAACATATACTTTGATACTCAGTGGTTTCAATGCAAAAGCAAGCATAGGTGAGGACAGCAAAAAATATGTTGGAAAATATGGTTTAGCGGTAAGGCCAGAGACTTGCAAACTACCCAGAGGCTCATGCTTATATATCATTAATACTCCCATCAAAAAAAAAAAAAGAATTAGGAGGTGCTAGACGTATCAAGCAATAATATTATGGAAAATGAAATTGATTATATTTTAACAAAAAAGAAAGCACTGATTATTGATTTGGGAATCATTCCTGAGTCAGCTATGTATAGTCAATCTACCAACTTGTTAAAGATATGAATTAATAGAAAACTAGAAGAATTAACATAAGAAAATGATATGATGTGCAATGAAAACAATTCCATACTGACTTAATTTAAAATTATTGATGCCAAATTTTGTGTCACTGTTAAAACAATCTTAGCCAGCAAATACATGATCTCTGTGCCAAGTCAAGAGATATGCAAGGCCAGAGCAAAACAAGTTTAGAAAATCAACTCTTTGTGAAATCTTACAGAGAAGGACAGTGGAAGATTATGAGCAATATTGCCTCAGTAAGTGATGAGAAACAGTGGAGAGGAAAACAGAAATTTGGTGAGATCCAATTAAGCAAAGTTATCCCAAGAGCATTTGAGGAGTAACTGGAAGGACAACAGACAAAATGGAAGGCGAGGCAAAGGCGTTCATAACAAATTCTTTTCATCATAAAGTACAGAGAATCCACTACAATTTGGACTCGTAACATCACAATCTTGGATTTACTATACAAGGACAAAGTTGTACATTAAAGACAACAAAGATGGAAAAAGTAACTAAAGGTTATATAGAAGAGATATACGCTCAAAGAGGTGCAATTTTACATATCTTTTTTTTTTGGGGGGGGGGGCTAGGCAATGGGGTTAAGTTACTTGCCCAGTAGAGGCGCAATTTTAACGATGTTGAGAGATTGATGCCCAACATGGCACCAACCAAAGGCATGAAAAAAAAACCTCAGACTTTATTATTATCCAAAAAAGGAACCTAAAAGGACTTCAGTAACTATCAACCCTGATGCTTGCTTTCTCATTATGTAAAATTTTTGTGAGAATAATCCACACTTCATCAAAGATGTCCTGTATCAGATGGGAGCAGGCAGGTGTTTGCAAATGTGTTCCACTGTAGATCACAACTGTTTTTTTGTTTTGTTTTTTTGTGTGTATATGAGGCATTCAGGGTTGAGTGACTTGCTCAGGGTCACACAGCTAGTGTCAAGTGTCTGAAGCCAAATTTGAACTCAGGTCCTCCTGACTCCAGGTCTGGTGCTCTATCTACTGCACCACCTAGCTGCCCCTGTAGATCACATAGTGCTAGATTATGCTCAATGAAAGTATTCACCATGATCATGGGGTTAAACTCAAATTGAAATTGGGTCCACCAAACGCTACGTAGGGATCCCTGCAGGGCACATATTGACAGCATCTGTGTTCTATTTTTTAAATTTATTTTTTATGTTTTCCAATTACATTTTCACTGGATTCAGGCTGCAGAAGTGTTGTGGGCCACACCTCTGGTAGAAATTCAGCACAGAATCCAAGTCGCAGATGGATCTCCTAAAAAGATGAAGTCCATCAGATACTCCTTTTTTTCCCCTTGGTTAATATTACGCTGTTAGTATCATGTCCCAGAACATGGCAGAGTCTCTGAAATATGATCCCATGACTATTCAAAAGAGTTCAACCTTAATATTCACATAGGAAAAACCAAGGGGATGAAAAATGCCTGTTGTCCAGGCTGTAATTTACAGTCAGATGTACAATCCATGGAATTTATGGATCCGTCTTGGGCAGACATTTCAAATGAACAATGAATTGGGCCTAGAATTGAAAAGGAGGAAGAGAGAGGATGATCTATCTTTGAGCAATTGTAAAGTGATTTTAATGACCACAACCTTTTCCCTGAAACAAAGACTCGTTACCAATATCCTAACAGTAACCAACATTCTTTTGGTGATGTTGTATGACTGCAACTCATGGATGAGAATTATCCAGCAGGCAACAGAGAAGCACATGGTGAGTGTGATCAGGTCACATCACATTACAGACAGGAAGTTACAAAGTAGACATGGAGTGAAGAATGCCTACAAATAAATACAACTGGAAAAGAAAATGGACCAGTAAAGGACAACTAGTGGTCAGTCTGTGTGCTCCATTGGGTAGCCATCAACTCCAGGAAGGCCCCTTGGCATGTTGAATTTAATTCAACAAGTCGTTTGACCACATGGTCTCCATATGGGAGGACATACATGAGGGTACCACAGTACAAGCAGGTGTGAGTTCTAATCTTTATCTTTAAAGGTAGCGTGGTGATGCAATGGATAGAGCTTTAGATCTAGAGTCAGGAAGACCTGAGTTCAAACCCAGCCTCAGAATTTTCCCTTATAGGATTATGCTCAGCTTCTCAGAGTAAGTTAGTTATTCTGGGTTATAAGCCTACCTATTCTTCCTTTTGTAATATTATATTCCAAAATCTCTTCTTGTTTATGGTGGATCCTTCCAGGTTTTGTGCGAGCCTACCTTTAGTTTGTGACACTTGTACTAATCCTTTCTCAAAGCATGTAGTACTTTTTTCTTTGATGTGGGCATTCAGGATTTTGGCTATGACATTCCTGAGACTTTTCCTTTGGGGAATTCCTTTCAGGAGGTGATCAGTGGATTCTATCTTTACCTTGCCATATAGTGCTAATAGATTTGGGCAGTTTTTCACTTATGATTTCTTGAAATATAGTGTTCATAGTTTTCAAAGAGTCCAGTGATTCTTGATTCTTAAATTCTCTCTTTGTCCCGTTTCCTAGGTAAGTTTTCTTTAATATCATATATCTTATATTTTATTCCATTTTTACAATCTTTTCATTTTGTTTCTAGTTCTTGTCTCATGGAGTAATTGGTTTCTGTTTGCTGTACTCAAGTTTTCAAGGAGTTCATTTCTTTGGCAAAACTTGATACTTTCTCTTCAGAACTACATATTCTTTTTACAATGTTTTCCTCCAATGATCTTATTTCATTTTTTATCTTTTACTTTAATTCATCTAGATATTCATGTATTTCTTGTGGAAAGTAAATTTCCCTTGAGTATCTGCTTGAGATTGTTACAGTTATTCTCTCCGTCTTTTGGGGGGTATTTCTAAATTTGTGATGATTTTTGATGCTAGTAAGAGTCGTGGTGTTTGTTTTTTTAATTCACCTCTTCAGTTTTAGTAATGAATTAGGGTTTTGTGCCAAGGTCAGACTGTGTTTCCAGCTGCACTTTTGGGTAGCATGGCTGGCCATGAATGGTCTATCTATCCAGCAATTTATTTTATTAATATCTTTAGTCTTTACATCACCTAAATTTCACCTTGTCAAAGAGCCATCCCTTATAATATTTTTTTTTAAGAAAGGAAGAGGAAAAAATCAGAAAAACTGATTAACACATAAAAAATTGATAATATATGCAATATTCTACACTTTTGCAAAATAGTAGAGGAGATGCATTCTCCCAGCTAAGAGGTGCAGTGGATGGAGCTCCTGGCCTAAAGTCAGGAAATCAAGGAGTCAGGGTTCAAATCCAGCCTCTGATACTTACTAGCTACGTTACTCCGGGCAAGTCACTTAACCCCCAGTTTCCGAGGTTGTTGTGAGGATTAAATGAGATAATAATTGTAAAGTATTTAGCACAGTTCTTGGCTAATAGCAAGCAAAATAGAAGTGATAGCTATTATTATTCTCATATCTCTTCTATGGGATTAAGTTGTTCTTTGTGATTTCACAACATTCATTTTTTGTTGTTTTGTGGTGGTTATTTCCATTTCCATCGTTGTAGTCATTGTGTATATTGTTTTCATGGCTTTTTTTACTTCAATCTGCTATCGCTTCCCGTAAGGCTTTCCTTGTTTCTCTGTGCTCATCGTATTTGTTGTTTCTGACAACACAGTAATATCCTATTATATTCATGTACCATTACTTCTTTAGCTATTCCCCAACGGATAGGCGCCTACTTTGTTTCCAATTCTTTGCCATCACATAAATGCTGCTATAAATAGTTTAGTATTTATGGGAAACTATCAAGAACCTCCTTGGGATGTATGACTAGCAGTAGAATCTCTGGGTCTATCACGTAATACAGTGCTTAGCACATAGTAAGAGCTTAATAAATGCAGGCTGGGGTAGCTAGGTGGCGCAGTGGATAGAGCATGGGCCCTGGAATCAGAAGGACCTGAGTTCAAATCCAGCCTCAGACATGTAACACTGATTAGCTATGTGACCCTGGGCAAGTCACTTAACCCCAATTGCCTCACTAAAAAATAAAAATAAATAAATAAATTAGTGAATGAGTGAATGTATAAATAAATAAATAAATACAAATAAATGCAGGCTGACTGAGCCAAAGGGTATGGACATTTCAGTCACTTTACTTGCATAATTTTTCCACAATTCCTCCAACATGTACTATTTCCATTTTTTATCACCTTTGCCAATTTGCTGGGTGTGAGGTGAAACCTCAGGGTTGTTTTGGTTTGCCTTGCTCCTATTAGATTTGGAACATCCTTTCCCATGGTTTTCAATGGTTTACAATTCTTTTGACGACTGTGTGTATCCCTTTGACTACTTATCTATTAGGGAATGTCTTTTCTGACCACTGGTTTTCAATTTATCGAGTCATTTGATGGCAAAGGATGTTGGAAAGAGCCCTGGAGTGGGTGGGAGTCAGATGACCCACATTGTGGTTCAGACTCTCTTACTATCTCACTCTAACCTTGGACAAACCATTTAATTTAAACCATTCTCTCTGGGCCTTCATTTTCTTGATTGCAAAAATTAAGGGGGTCATCTTAGATGATCTTTACGTTTCCTTCTAGTTCTAAATCTGTAATCCTATTGTGTAGGCATGCTAAAAATGTCCATTTAGTCTCTCTAGAAATACTAAGAAATTTTTTTTAAAAATTAAATATTAATTAGTAAAATATTATTTCTCTAAAAATATTAGGAAATACTATCTCTCCAGACATTTTTCTCCTTTCCAGACATTTCCCTTTGGTAAGTAGGAAGAACAAAAGCTAGGGTCTTCTTTTGAAACTAAACTTAAGTCTTCTTTCACAACATGACATATAGAAATATGTTTTTCATAACTGCACATGTGTAATCCGTATCAATCCATAACGCCTTCTCAGTGGTGGGGAGAGCAGGGAGGGAATTTGGAGCTCAAAATTTTAATAAGAATGTTAAAAATGTATACATGTAATTGGAAAAAAATAAAATATTAAAAAAAGGAAAGCAAACTTAGAAAAGATGATTGCTTCCCCATCCTCTGGAGCGATTGGTGCCTTTACCTACCCAAAGACAGTATCTTCCCTTTTGAAATTCAAGGTTCATATATCGATCACAGGAAGAAATCCTTTTAAGGGGAAATGGTTCAGGAAGGCACTGAGTAATCACTATTCTAGAATATTAACCCCAAACTGAATTTTAATATATTGGGATCTTTTTCATTTTCATTCCCATTCCCAACCTGAGGCAGACAATCACGTCGGAAGGCATGGGGGACTGTGCCAGTGTAGACTCTTTGTAAACTAGAAATGACTTGGATATAAATTAATATTAAATTCAATGAGCTGAGCCTAAATTGCAGCATACATCATTAGTGTTAATATTTCTTTAATACCATAAACTTGGTTTTCCATGATCTTCAGAGAGTCTCCCAGAGCTACCCCCAATTCGTGTGTCTCATCCCTTCCCTCTCAGGAAATTGTTCTTTTATCTAACTTATATCTCTTACACTTACAGCTCCAAATACTTCTTGCTTTGCCCACAGGTGAAAGGTGAAAAAAACAGCAGTTGGCCTATAGAATTGCCCTCACTCTTTACTGACTGAGACTGAACTCCCCCTCAAACCTTCCCCTCTCTGGCTTTCATGATCCCAATTACCCTTAACTGTGTTTTTCTTCTTAGCCTCTCTGCCTCCATCTTACAAGGTTTCCAGTGCCAGGAGGCCAGCCAGCTACCCCGGGCTCAGTTCTCTTCCCTTGTTAGGGAAATGCAGAAGCAGAACGCCATCTTAAATGCCAGACAGGTAGGCAGTGCCACCCGTTTGGGGGTTATATTTGCATATGTTTAGTGTCCATTCTGCATATTTTAAAAATTGTATATAATCTACTCATGACAATACAGCTTTGCCCAACCACTCCCAAGTTCATTTGGATTCATTCTATGAAGAGTTGTTTCCCCCTCCTCTTTTTTTTCTTCTCCTCTACACCCTACACATAGGAAATATCTTTGCTGAATATTTGTCAAATGGAATTCTTGCCATTCTGAATCCCTCATGCTATACCCACGGTGCTCAAGGAGAGGAGGGTTGTTGGGGATTCACCATCCATCACAACTGGGAGGGGGTGATATGATGCCTGAGGAACACAGGATGAGAAAATTTCCTCTCTGTGATCGGGGAGCCCTTTGGATTAAGCTATGCCCCCTTACCTGTAGTGAATGGATGTAGGAGGTAATTGTCAATGGCTGGTCTGTTAATCACAGACCCTCTGACAGAGTGAATGGAGGACCCTGCCCAGGTTAAGGTGTGCCAGGTAAAGAGCATTCAAGTAAAGATGTGTCACGTGTGTTCAGGTAAAGGTTTGGCCAGGTAATAATGTAGCCATGTAAGGTAAAGGAATGTCGGGTACTGTATTCAGGAATGATGTACCCAGGTAATAGTGTCCTGTGGAATGTGTGTTCAATCAATCAATCAATTAGTCAGTCCCAGCAATTGAGGAATTTACATTCGCCTTGATCAGGGGCTCTTAACTTGGGGTCCACGGACTCCCAAAGGAGTTTGTGGATAGATTTCAGGACATCTGTGAGTGTAGATGAGAAAAAGATTCCATCTTTCATTTCATTAATCTCCAACTGAAATTTAAAATTTCCTTCAATTATGTAAAAAATATTGTTCTGAGAAGGGGTCCATGGGCTTTACCTGACTGCCCAAAAGGCCTGTGAACCAAGAAGATAAAGGACTCCTGGTTAGGTGGATATAACATGTTCGCAGATATTTACATACAACATAAACATACAGTTGTCTGGGCAGGGCACTAATAACTTGGGGAATGAGGAGAGGCCCCTTGAAGGAGGTGATATTTGAACTGAGCCATGAAGGGTACCAGGGGCTATAAGAGAAGGCAAAGGGGGGAGAGCATTGTCAGTATAGGGGGCAGTCCATGCAAAGGTAAGAAGAGGAGAGAAGGAATGTCCCAGGAGGAGAACACTGCCTCCAGGCCAATTTGGCTGAAGCTCAGAATAGCAGAGGGAGAAATGTATCATCAGCCTGGAAAGACAGACAGAGCCAGCCTGCAAGTGGCTTGAAATGCCAGATGAAGAAGTTTATCGTTTATCTTCCGAGGAACAGGAGCCACTTCCATTCTGAGCCCTGTGTGACAGGGTTAGACTTGCTCAGGCAAGAATACACCAGTTAATATATTCGAGGTAGACCTTGCCAGATGACAACAATGTGGACAAGTAGAGGTGAGCCAGGTAATACATTTGTTGCTATTGTTCAGTCATTTCAGTCGTGTCTGACTCTTCATGACCCCTTTTGGGGTTTTCTTGGCAAAGATACTGGCGTAGCTTGCCATTTCTTTCTCTAGCTCATTTTGTAGATGAGGAAACTGAGGCAAACAAGGTTAAGTGACTTGCCCAGGGTCACACAGATAGTAAGTGTCTAAGGCAGGATTTGAATTTGGGAAGATAAGTCTTCCTGACTCCAGGCCCAGTGCTCTATCCACTCCACCACCTAGATGCCCCTAGGTAATATATTTAGGCAAAAGTTTAATACTGTGTCAATTAAGTGTGGTCTTAGGTAGATATATGCCAAGTAATATGTTCGTGGAAAACTTATACCAGGTACTGTGTTCAGATAAAGATGTAGCCAGGTAATAGTGTGCCAAGTATGTGTGCTCTTAGTGTGGTAAGTGCCTACCTGAGGTGGATTATGCATTCATGGTAACGGTATGGCAGTTAACATGCATTCAGGTAAAGTTGTGTGCCAGACCGGGTTGTGCCAGATGTTATGTGCTCAGGTAATGTATGCCAGGGAATGAGCTCAGCCGTGTTATGTAATGTATTCGGGTAATGACATGGCCAGGTAATAGGTACCTGGGGTAGAAGTGTGCCAAGTAATACTCTCAGGTTTCTAGTTCAACATATGATTCAAACTAAGATCCTATGAGGCCAGATCCCTGGGCTCCAGGCTGGGCCAAGTTTCCTTTCCAGGGGGCCTTTGGCTGCTAAGTGCTGTTTCTTCTGGCTCATTTCCCCTCCTGGTCAGGGGTAGGGACACCCAGCCCAATACCTCCCCACTTCCAGTACTCTTATGGGGTCCCTGAGCTCCCAGAAGGCTGGGGGAAGCTTCAGATAAAGTCTGTCCTCTAGATGTTACTTTCTTAGGCCTGGCCTGTTGAAGCAGGCCTGCTTCCCCCTACCCCCAACTCTTGCCACAAGGTCCCCCTCCACTCATGACCTTCCAAAGCCATTAGACAGATGAGAGGGGAAGTGACTTGTCCAGATACTTAGAAGCAGACCTGAGGCTAGAACTTCTGAAATGCGGTCTGGTGTTCCTGTTCACTTGGACAGGATGTGGAGTGGCTATGCCTCTCCCCTCTGCCCACTGCCTGTTCCTCTCTTCCAGCTGAGTTGTATGGCAAACCTGCTGGCTCTCCATAACCTGACAAGCGACTTTGCTGACTATCCATCAGACCTGCTGCTCTTCTATGAGTGAGTGTTCCCTGAACAGGATTAATAGTGATGATAATATATTAATAATAATTAATACTATATTAATAATAATAGCAATAACATTTGTATAATGTTTTAAGGTTTACAAAGCATTTTACAAATGTTATCTCATTTGATCCTCCCTATAACCCTGTGAGGTCAGTGCTATCATTACTCCCGTGTTACAGATGAGGAAACTGAGGCAAACAGAGGTTAGGTGACTTGTCTAGGGGCACGCAGCTAGTAAATGTTTGAGGTAGGTTTTGAATTCTGGTCTTCCTGACACCAAATTTAACACTCTATCCATTGCATCAAATGGGAACTTACACAAATTACCTGTAGATGGATGAAATGTAAAGAGACGGTCAAAATAAAGCACTTCCTAGCTTTTCCCCACCAATTATCCCTGACCTTCCTGTAAGAGTGTTTGAAATGTTCCCATTCCTTTAGATTACACATGTAGGCTGTCCTCTCCTGTCTACTTGGAACAGAAAAGGGATAGAATCATAAAATCATAAATTTACGGGGCTGGAAGACACCTCAGAAATGATCTAATCTCATCCAACCTAAGCTTCCCTAATAGAAAGTAACCTAGTCTCTGATGGAACTCTCCCAGTAACAAGCAGCTTACTGTCTTCCATGGTTAGGTGTGACACCCAAGCATTCTTTGCCATAAACTCTGTATCCCCAAAGTGCTTCCTCTGTGCCTTGATATTCCCTAGGATGCAGTCTCCCCCAAAGCCTAGATTCTCCCATGTGGGTTGGGTAGGGGAGAGGAGAAGAAGGAGAAAGCTTTGGACTTTAGTGGCAACCCATAACGATTTGCATTTCTGACAGCCTGAGACAAGTGGACGAAGCCAAATGCCGGGCATTCATCAGCAGGGCCTCCCAGGGGAACCTTAACCTCCTGTCTGGACTGTCAGCTCAGAAGAGGGAGCTCCTGAACGTGTCCCTGACTTGTCTGGTACAGATATGTCTCTCCTTATATCCTGGGAAGACACCAAAGGTGGGGAGGGAAATAAGGACTGTCTCTGGGAGACAATTACATGGTCCTGGGAAGAGAAGAGGAGTCCTAGTGAAAAATCATGACTATAGCCAAAAGAATTCTGAGCCAGGAGTCAGGGAATCTGAATTCTAGCTCTGGCTCAGTCACTGACTTGCAGTGTAACCTCTGAACCATTTTGATTATTGTATTCATGGAATCTGAGAACTGGAAAAGACTTTAGAGGTCATCTAGTTCAACATCCTTATTTGATAGAGGAGGAAACTGAGCCTCAGAGAAGAAATGTGTCATGGGTGATGTTAGGGCAGAAGATGCAGAGTATATATCCCCTTGATCAAGAAACTTCAGTGGCTCCCCATTGTCCTTAGGATAATATCCAAATTCCTGTGTTTGGTATTCCAAGCCCTGCAAAGTCTGGCTCCAGCCTACCTTTCCATACTCTATATCACAGCTGAGTTAGCCTCATTGATATTCCCCGTACATGGCCTTTTATCTACCTCCTTCATGCCTCTGTACAGGCCGACACCAAGAAGAAAGACTCCTTCTAGCTCTAACACGTGATGATTCACTCCTCTGTTTTCACTCTTCTTGGCTTTGCAGGGAAATCCTGGTACCAATCTGAGCAAAGAGGACCTGAGCTCCTTGGGTGGCTTGGTCTGTGACATGGAGCCAGCTGTCATCCTGGAGTCAGACCCCCACATCATAGACAACCTGAAGCGCTGCTCCCAGCTTACAGCAAGACAGCGAGATGCCCTCAATGCACTCCTTCACAGTGGGGCTACGTCACTGGGGTAGGCTGCCCCAATACTGATTCTGCTTGACCACGTCCAGGGCACCGCACTACACTAACCCACTCAGCACACACCAGCTGGTTGTGTGGCCTTGGCCAAGTCACATATCTCTCCACAGTAAGGAAGTTGGGGCCATAAGTCCCTTCTAGATCTGACATTCTGGGACTGTCTCAGGCCAAATCAGTAGTAAGCCACGGGACACGGGGATTTGGAACTTACCTGCTTAATGGAACAGCTATGGTTTTGTGGTTTGTTATCTCAGTAGTTAGAGCAGGGGTTCTTAAGTTGGCATCCATGCCCTGCCCAACAGGTCTATGGCTAGACATTATAGAGTCTATGAATCTGGATGCTTTATTTCATATAATTGGTTCCTTTGTAATCCTGAGTATTTTATTTTATACATTTAAAAACACTATTCTGAGAAGGGATTTACCAGACTGCCAAAGAGGTCCATGATACACGTACAAAGGGTTAAGAACCCTTGGGCTAGAGTGTGATGATAGTGAGTCCAAAGCCAAGGGTTTGATCCTGATATGGTCCCTAATGCTTCACTCTGTTGCCCAACACCAGACCAAGCCTTAACTCTGGTCCCAAGAAGACCTCTACTCCTGGCCCCAGATGCAGCCCTAACTCTATTCTCAGAGTGACACCTGTACTCTACCAGCTCTCCTACAAATGTCTAGGACTGGACACAAGAGCACATAAGTTGAGAATGTGGCTAGCTTAACACAGCCCATACTTACCTCTAGGACACTGCTCGTTCCCTAAGGCTGTTGCCATTCCCAGAGAGCTCTCTCCCTTCTTCCTCATCCCACATCACTCGGCCATCTTCCCCTACTATCTCATCCTTCTCTCTTGTCTCCTATGGAGAAGTGGTCCCTCTCTTCACTGAGGACAACCCATCTCCATACACCTTTGATGCCACTCCATCTTGTCTTCTGCAGCAGATTGCCTGCTCTATTATCCCTTCTCCTAACCTGCAATCTCTATCTCCTTACGGCTTTCCTGATGCCTACCAACATGCTCACATCTCCTCCAGCCTTAAAAAACATTCACTTGATCCAACCATTTCCTCTATATCTCTACTCCCTTTTGTGACTGAACTCACTGATAAAGCTGTCAGTAATCAGTGCCTCTATTTCCTCTCTCTTCCTCTCTTCTAAACCCTCTGAAGTTCAGCTTCCAACCTCATCATTCAAATGAAACTGCCTTCTCTAAAGTTGCTATCTCTTAATTTCCAAATCCAAAGCCTCATCTTTCTTGACCTCTCTGCAACCTTTGATTCTGTTGATCACTATCTTCTCTTGGGCACTCTCTCCCTCTCCCCTAGTTCTTCTTCTACCTATAGGACTGTTCGTTCTCAGCTTCCTTTTCTGCATCTTCCTACAGGTTACACGCACTAACCGTGGGTATACCCTAAGGGTCTGTCCTGGCCCTTCTCCTTTTCTACCTCTACTACCTCTCTTGGTGATCTCCTTAGCTTCCAGGGGTTCAATCATCTCTTCACAGATGATTCTTAGGACTATTTATCCAGCCCTAACCTCTCTCCTATTCTCTTGTCTCACATTACCAACTTCCTATTGGATATCTTGAACTGGATGCACTGTGAATAGTTCAAACTCAGCAAATCCAAAGCAGAACTCATTATCTCTACCCACCCAGCCATCCCACCACACACACACATACACACACACACACACCCCTCCGTTCTTCCTGCTTTCCCTGTTACTGTCAAGGGTACCACCTTAAATATGGTGCCATTCAGTGACCAAAACCTGGCCACTCAAGCTTTCAGTGTCCTCCTCTACACCTCTCTTGTATTCCCTCCACATATCCATTCTGTTACCAAATCTACTTATTTCTACCTTTACAACATCTCTCACGTATGTCTCCTCTCTGCTCACACAGCTACCCCCATCCCCAACACCTTGTACCTACACAATTGCAACATCCTTCTTGTTAGTCTCCGTGTTTCAAGTTTCTGCCCATTCCGGTCCTCCTGCCTAAGTGATCTTCCTAAAGTCCACATCTGGCAATATCATCCCTGCCCCTATTCAATAAACCACAGTGGCTCCCTATTATCTCTAGGATTAAATAGAAAATCCTGTATTTGGCTCTTAAAGACCTTCATAACCTTGTTCTCTTTCTACCTTTCTTGTCTTTTTACACTTTGTTGTTCATCTGTCTTAGTCTTGTCTGACTCTTCATGACCCCATTTGGGATTTTCTTGGCAAAGATACTGGAATTCTTTCTGTAGCTCACTTTACAGGTGAGGAAACTGAGGCAAACAGGATTAAGTGACTTGCCCAGGGCCACACAGCTAGTAGGTGTCTGAGGCTGGATTTGAACTCATGAAGAGGAGTCTTCTGATTCCAAGCCTAGCACTCTATCGGCTGCGCCCCTCTGGCTGTCCCATTTTTACACTCTACTTCTCTCCATGTACTCTATGATCCAGGGATGATGGTCCTCTTACTGTTCCTCACACAAGACACTCCATCCTTTGTCACTTTGTCTTTATACTGTCTCCCTTCTCACCACCTACTGGCTTCCTTTAAGACTCATCTCAAATCCCACCTTCTGCAGGAGGCCCAAATTGTCCTCCTCCCCATCCCCAAACTGCTAGTGCTTCCTCTTTGAGAGTATCTCCCATTTATACTGTTTATATCTTACATGTACGTTGTTTCACCCATTGGAATGGGAGCTCCTTGAAGTCAGAAAATGTATTTTTGCCTTTCTTTTTATCCCCAGAGCTTAGCACAATGCCTGGTACACTTGTGGTCCACTGACTTGGTGGACTGGGGGTGTCATTGTCTTATCCAAAGGATGGCACCATATTAGATCTGCAAACTGCATCATAGAGACCCACACACATACACAGCAGATTTTGCATATATATAAATTAGATTAGGAGGGGAGGAAGTTGAAAAATTTGACTTAGCTGTATCTGGGGATCAAATTCACCTGGCAATTCCCAAATTTCTGCCTCCCGTGGAGAGAGATAAGCAACCAAAGAAACTCTAGGACATTCATTTATTCAGTCATTCATTTATTCATTCAGCAAGTTTCTGTTGAGTGCCTCCAACGTGCTCAGGCCCCTGTATGCCCCTGAGAGGGTGCATGAGATGTTACACTCAGTCTTTATCTTTCAGGAACTTAGGGTCCAACTGAAGGTTTGACTTAGTGACTTCTGAGGTCTCTTCCAACCTGGGAATTTCTGGGGTTTTGAGTTTGGTCACCATTCAGGACCACTCTGGGTCCTGGCCATGTTTTGCTCACCGAAGAGTGCCATATTTAAGAGTGCAATTACCCAAATGTCATATAAAAGATGGAGCCAGCCTGATCCTTGGGTCTCACTGATCTATTGATACTTTCTACAAATACCAGCTTTTCCTCTTAGAAACAACAACAAGAGTCCTTAGGCTTTGACCCCAGGGCTTTCTTCTTTGCAAAATTCTAAACTTTTACAGGTCTCTAATCCTCAACCTGAGGCCCAAAGCCCCTTGACCTTCCTGATCCAGGGGCCTGCTTGGCTCCTTGGGTTCAGAAATCTGCTGGACCCAGGCCCTAATTACTTTCCCCCTTTCTTCTGCTGTTACTGTAATCAGGTCTTCTCTGCCTGCTTACTTGTATCTGCTGCATACTCCTCACCACATAAGTATTTTTAAAGGATTTATTTAAAAGGGAAAAGAGAATACGTTTATCCCTTCCACATTGCAGGGGTTAGGGGCCCTGAGCCCCTGTGATCTGGAAAACCCCTGTAAAATTTTTTGGCCCTCCCTTTATACCAGAGAAGTCTGAATTATTGTGGTATTAAAAGACAAAATATGTTCATATTATACAATGCTACACATATATTTTATGCATTTCTGAGTTTCTAAACTTTATATGTGACATCTGCTGGCCTTCACTTATCCTCTGCGGCTCTTGCAAAAAATTCCCCTTTAATTTCTTATGCTGACCCATGATACATCAAAAACGCAATGATACGCCTCATAGTGTGAAAAAGAAAATTGCCTAGTCCCCAGAATGGATGGACAGTAATTAATTTCCTAATTAATCCTCCCCAGGCTCAGTTTCCCATGTTCTCTTCTAGGTTGCCAGTCCCAATGCCATGCCATCTAGTAACACCAGGGAAGAACAGCAATCCATTGGGGGACAGCTAGGTGGTGCAGTGGATAGAGCACTGGCCCTGGAGTCAGGAGGACCTGAGTTCAAATCCGGCCTCAGACCAAACACTTGACACTTACTAGCTGTGTGACCCTGGGCAAGTCACTTAACCCCAGTTGCCCCTCCCCCCCCAAAAAAAGAATAGCATATGCCCTTATGATTTAGCATTAGCCAAACACAGATACCCTGGTCAGAGCTCTGTTGTCCAGTCTACAATCACATTGTAGACTTCCTTTAAGAAGACTTCTGATCACATGGCAAATTTGGAGGAGTACTGCCCACATTCTTACCAAAACAACGAGTTAATTATCTTCCCCCTGCTCTGCTCACAAGAACCAAAAAGGGAATACAAGACAGGTCTAGGGTTCTTAACATCTCAAAAAGGCTGAATTAGTTGGAGTTAGCCTCCAGCTACCATTGTAGCCCAGGTCCCATAGTCAAAGGAGCTTCCCTCCCCAATCCCCTATCCCTTTCTCTTTTTTCCCCCTTTGTGACACAGGGCTCCTGGATCCTGGAATCTTGGCAGACTTTGGAGTCTCGGACCCTTGGCATTTTATATCAACTCTACTCTGTGGAAGATGGTGAATAAGGTAGGGACCCTGAGGAGGATGGCAGCTGGACGTGTGGGCCCCTGGCTGAGAATAAGAGGCTGCATAAGCTAATGGGAGAAAGTCTTCTAGAATGTCCCTCAAAACTCTGCTCAAGCAATACCCATTGCAATGCCTCTCACCCTTCTTGATCCTTCTCGATGCTGGTGCCTCCCTCCCCAATTTATCTTGTATTTATTTAATATGTATTTGTATATATTTATTTATACATATGTTATCTCCCTCAATAGAAGTAAGCTCCTTGAGGGCAGGGAATATTTGGATTTTGTCTTTACATCTCCAGTACCTAACAGAGTACCTGGCACATAGCATATATTTGAGTGATTCACTGATCCATTCTGGCCATTGATGAATTAACACGGAGGAAATGATGAAAGGCACTTCATTTACAGTTTCTCTCTTGTCTCAGGAGGTGAGTAAGGATTTCTTTCGGGATGTAGTCGCTAGATACCAAGCAGGAAGCCTGCCAAGGAGCCGTGTCCAGAGCTTTGTTGATTCCTTCCTCGCTCAGGAATTATCAATTTCAAGAGCCAACCAGGAGACAGGTTAGTGGACCCCTTTCCCCAGGATCCCCAAGATCCTAGGGGGTCACATAGAGACCCTTCTCTGGTTGACTTTTTGCTTCTGGACAAGTAGTCCGAAACAATGATTTCTCTGGGACCAGAGCCAAGAGGAAATGAGGATGACCCCAAGGTAGGGGTGCCAACTGGATACATGCTGGATGTTCTGTGGTTTTTCTAGGGGGAGGGTGAAGGAAACAGGAAGGGAATAAACATTTACATAGCATCCACTATGTGCCAGGCAGTGTGCTAAGTGCTTTTACAAATATTATCTCCATTTGAGCCTCACCACAACTCTGGGACGTAGATGCTATGATTATCCCCATTTTATAGTTAAGGAAACTGAGGCAAACAGATGTTAGGAGACTTGCCCAGGTCACGCAGCTAGTAAGCATCTGAGGCTGGATTTGAACTCAAGTCTTCCTGGCTCTAGGTGCAGTTCTATCCACTGTGCTACCAGCTGCCTTCCAAGGCAGTTTTCTAGGAGAGAAAATGAAAGGAAGAGGAGAATGGAATGAGAGGAAGGAGAAAATGAGAGAAAGAGTCTGGGGAGAGGAGATTGTGGGAAGAAGAAAGAGGATGTGAAAAAAGGGGAAGAAACTGTGGCAAGGAGGAGTTTGAAAAGAGAAGGTTGTGGCAGAGGAGGATTCTGGGGGGAAGAGGAAAGGTTATGAGGAGGAGTAGGCTGTGGAAAGAAGGAAGAAAATTGAGGAGGAGGAGTCTGTGGGAAGACTTGTCAGACTGGTGAGTGTTTGCAGGCCTGTGGAGAAATAAGTCTTTGGGCTCAAATGAAAGGTAACTTGGTGTTGCCAATTTGAAATTCTCTTTCTTGAGGCTACTTAGAGTGAGAAAATATATTCCTTTATCAGTGATGGAATTTCTGTTCTTGCCTATGCCGTGGATGGTTTTCTATATTCATGAAACCAATGCCCTCATCGTACCCCGTGCAGACTATGGGAGACACGGCCACTTCTCTCCCTGAGTCCAGTGAAAAATGACTAACTTGGGGCAGCTAGGTGGCACAGTGGATAGAGTGCCGGCCCTGAAGTCAGGAGGACCTGAGTTCAAATCCAGCTTCAGACACATAACACTTACTAGCTGTGCGACTCTGGGCAAGTCACTTAACCCCAATTGCCTCACAAAAGAAAAAAAAAAGAAAAATGACTAACTTGCTTGAAGAACCTTATCCTGGGTACTGACCTAGGAAGGGGAGGGCTCAGGAACTTGGAAGGAGACCTACCTCACCCTTTTCAATTGTTAGGGGGCAAATGAGGGTTTAAGACTGGGAATATAGCTGGATTTGAAGTTAGGATTGAGGTTGCAGCTAAGTTTAGGGATCAGCCTGGGGTTGGGGTTAGTTTGGATTGAGACTGGGGTTCAAAGTTAAGGTTGGAGATAGAAAGTTAAAGTTAGAAGCTAAAAAGTGAGATTAGCTTTGAAGTTAATATGAGATCAAGGTTGTATTTAGGTTATGCCTCGGGTTGGAATAAAGGTTAAGGTGAAGTTTGGGTTAGATATGGAATTAGGGTTAAAGGTTTGATGCATTAGGGGTCTGGTAGGGCTTGGGAGGGTCTGGTCAGGAGTCTGATGGGTTAGATATGGGAAGTCTGCTACAGTCTGATGGGACGTGGGGGTTAGATTTAGGATTAGATATGGGGCTAGAGTTTGGGGCTGAGGTTGGGAGGATTAGGCTTTGGGCTGGGGCTAGGGCTAGGTTTTTGGATAGCGCTGGAGTTGAAATTGGGGTTGCAGTTAGTGAGGGTTGGGCTGAAATTAGATTTCAGTTTGGAGTCAGAGTTTAGATTTTGGGGTGGATTAGAGTTGTCACTGTGGACCAATTCTTACCACTTCTCTGCCTCTTTGCACCCCAGGAAGAAGATGCAGTCGTGGAAATATCACAGCTCAGGTGATCCAGGATGAATTGTTCATGGTCCGCTATGACTGCAAGCAGCTCAAATCTTGCTTGGGAAGCAAGGTCCTGAAAGCTAACCTCAACCCACTGCTCCAGCACCCTCTGCCAAGAGAGTGCCAACGTGTTGTCAAGGGGAAACTCAGTGAGGTACTGGCATCTCCTGGACAGTGAGAATATGACCCTGGCAAAGATGGTCCCTGGAATCCTGTCCTGCCCCCTTCTGTTGGGCCATATCCCTTCTTGTGTTCCTGGAGTCCTAGGCCGTTCTACCATCACTCTCCCTTCTGTCTCTGAGGAAAGTCAGTTAGACTCAGCACACTGTAACCCTGAGTCATTTGTGTTTGGAGGTAATGCACATTAATTTTTTAAAAGCAGAGCCAAGAAGGCAATGGTTACCACCAAGGGATGAAGCTCTAATGGTGGTACATGACAGGAGGGCATGAAGATGTTTTGGGGTATGTAGGGATTTTCCAGCGACCCTTATATCTCCCCTCAAAGTCTGGGATGAGGAAGAACCATCTTAGCAGAGCAGAGGCAGGATGAATGTAATCTCTCTGGGGGCAATGAAGGTATGTGCACAAGAATTGTGTGTTGGCAAGATCTCAGAAATAGTGGTGGGACAAGCAAAAATGGAGAAAGGAGACCATTCTCTCTCCGCTCCCCTCCCCTCCCCTCCCTTCCCCTTCCTTTCCCTTCCCTTCCCTTCCCTTCCTTTCCCTTCCCTTCCCTTCCCTTCCCTTCCCTTCCCTTCCCTTCCCTTCCCTTCCCTTCCCTTCCCTTCCCTTCCCTTCCCTTCCCTTCCCTTCCCTTCCCTTCCCTTCCCTTCCCTTGCCTTCCCTTCCCTTCCCTTCCCTTGCCTTCCCTTCTCATCTCTCTTTCTCTTTCTGTCTGTGTCTCTGTCTTTGTCTGTCTGTCTGTCTCTCCCTCCCCACCCCTTGTTGCTGGCTAACCAAGCTGTCAATCAGTATAAGGACACTCAATTTTTTATTTGAGCATTACACCATTGCCAATGCTGATGGACAGCTTAAGCATCCAGTGACAGAGGCTACAGGACATATTCTTCTCCTTTCATTCTCCTGTACTGATACCACATGAGAAGAGGGTGCAGAGAGTGCCCTAAAACCCCAGAAATTCCAATTTTTCTGGACTCCACAGACTATGGCCCAAAGTCTCCTTCCTAAGTCATTGAGGGGTCAGAATGGAGGGCTTTTTTTATATTTAAGGCAGGGACCTACATGTTCACAAATGTGTCATTGCCTGCACATGTGCCCCTATAGTTACAGCCTTGGTGTGGAGACTAGCTTGACAAGAACAGAGGGTACATGTTGGAGAACAAAGGCTAGAGAGAGAAGCTGAGATGAGATTACGAAAGTCCATGAATATCAGGCAGAGAAGCCTGACCTTGATCTAATTCAGCAACGGGAAAGTACTCTGGACTAGGAGAGTATCATGATGTAAGTGCAATTCTACCTAGCAGAATAAATGGGGACCCTTTATTTGCACATATGGAGATGTAGTTTCTGCAAGAGGTCTTGTCCTAGACATCTGTTGACCAGAGTTTGCGTGGCAGGAGCCCACAACTTTCTGAACTGATTGGGCCACTCTCTCTCTCTCCTTCCCAGATCTATCCAGGGGGTGTCCCCGAAGACCAGCTGAAGCTGATCACCTCCTTGGTCTACTTATATACCAATGATGAAATTGGTCACTGGAACATCACATCTGGGGACACTGTGGTGGCTTTGCTGGGCTCTGATGTAGCTATGGAGAACCAGACTCAGGTGAGGGACTTAGCATTTGACTCCACTGTCCTGTTTGTCTTAGATAGTGACAGAGCTGGGAGGTACTGTAGGGACCAGTTCAATCCCTCTCCCCCTTGCATTTTGCAGATGAAAAAACTGAAGTCTAGAGTGATCTAGTGACTTGCCTGAGGACCCACCATGAGTCAGTGGCAAAGCCAAAACTGGACTGCCTTCCTGACCCTTAGTTTAGTACTGGGCTCCTTCCTCTAAGTCATCATCTTTTATCTATAGAGTGTGTCTTCAATTCAATTCAAATCAAGTGAATTCAGTTCAACATTTATTAAGTGCCTATTATCGGTAAGGTTTTGTGCAAAGTGCTAGGGATATAAAAACTAGAAATGAAAATCTCTTCCAGCAAGGAGATTATAGTTCAGTAGAAGGATATGCTAGTAGGTGGTGCCAAATGCACAGAGTGCCAGTCCTGGAGTCATTAAGACTCGTCTTCCTGAGTTCAAATCTGGCCCCAGACACTTACTAGCTGTGTGACCCTGGGCAAGTCACTTAACCTTGTATGCCTTAGTTTCCTCATCTGTTAAATGAGCTGGAGAAGGTCATGGCAAACCACTCCAGTATCTTTGTCAAGAAGACCCCAAATGGGGTCACAAAGAGTCAGACAACACTGAGCAACTACAACAAAATTTTAGGAATAGGGAGCCCTGGAAGGTTTTTGAGGAGAGGACTGGCATGATTAGATATTGTTTTGCCACCCCTCAATATCTCGTCCCCCTAGTCAGTCTACAAACTTCCTGAGAACAGGGGCCACCTCGTGTCTAGAATGTACCCCCTCCTTGTCTGTAGCTCTGGAATCCCTGGCTTCTCAGTTCAGGGGTCACCTTCTAAAATAAGCCTGGCCCGATTCCCTCCAGTTGTAGGTACTTTGCATGTATTTTGTGTCTGATCTTCTATGTGCATATTGCTTCTTCCCAATAGAATGTGAGCTCCTTGAGGTTGATAGTGAGCCATTGGGTTTGGGTTTCGTTTTGGTTTTTTTGCTTACTTGTTTGTTTTTGTATTCTCAGTGCCTAATACAGTGTCTGGGACATAATAGGTGCTTAATAATAGCTCATTTATGTAGCTCTTCATATAGCAAAGGGCTTGACATATATTATCTCGTTTGATTCATACAACCCTGAGAAATTAGTGATATTATTTCCATTTAACAAATGAGGAAAATGAGGCTGACAAAAATTAGGTGATTTGTTCAGGGTCACACAGCTAGAAAGTGTCCGGTGGATTTTAACTCAGGCCTTCATGGCTCCTACTCCAGTACTCTACCCACTAGCTGTTTAATAAATTGGTTATTGAAAATGCTTATTGAATGAATGAATGAATGAATGAATGAATGAATGAATGAATGAACAACTCACCCTCTTTTCTCCTTTCCCTACTGTATTGAGTTCAGAACTGGGAGCCAAGAAGTGGTGAATAGGGAGTGGGGACCTCACTAAACCCTAGATGATTGATTGATTGATTGATTCATTAGCAGACAATGTGGGACTGTCTTATTCTTGACACTATGGAGAAAAGTCAGTTGCAGCTCTGAATGCTGATTTGTACTGCCCACCATTCCTTCCTCTACTTGGGAATCATCAAGTAACTCACCTAAGCAGGAAGGGGATGGGAGAACAGGGCAAGACTCCTGACCCACATTCTAGGAGGGGGAACTGCCGAGGGTTTGAAAAGGTGACTTGGGAATGAGCCTAAAAGCTGTGTTAGCCAAATCCAGCTATGACAAGACTTTGGAACGTTAGCATCAGAAGCCTGTGCCCTAGAGGAATGGATTGGTGTCTACTTTTTTGTACAAACTTTTCCTTCTTGGGACCAATTAAAAGTTTCTTTGGAAGAACTCTAGGACTGTCTCTGCTTGCACAAATAGAAAATGGGTTTATGGCTCTGGCAGAACAGATGAGGTTGGGAGTTTCCCAGGACTTAGGAGAATCCTGCTCCCTACCTCATTATGTTGTGGAAAGAGTGCTAAACTTAGGGTAGTCTTGGGACTTGAGTTCAATTATCCACTCTTCAGCTTGGTCCCTGTGCGATCTTGAGCAAGCCCCGACCTCTCTGGGCTCCAGTTTCATCATCTGTAAAATGAGGGGGTTGAACTAGGTGACCTCTAAACCCCCCCCACACTTCTATACCTATTTGACCCTCTGCCCCTGGATAACTAAGAGCAGGTCACGCTGAGAGATGGTACCATTCCTTTCCCAGAAAGGGCTCTCCTGACAGGGGAAGGCTGGACTGGGTTATAGTATGAACATTTACACCTCAGGAATCAATCCTGCAAATCAGGGCTTGTTTAATTATTTTGTTGATTGTTAAGAAAGTGTTAATAATTCATATTAAGCTTTAAAGTGTGTGTTCATGCACTGTTTTTTTCCTGGAGAGCCCAGCTGTTAAATATTTACCAGCACACCACCCCCTCCCCGTTGTTGTTGTCATGTCTGACTCTTCCTGACTCCATTTGGAGTTTTCTTGGCTAGGATACTGAAGTGGTTTGCCATTTCCTTCTCCAGCTCATTTTATGGATGAGGAAACTGAGGCAAACAGGTTTAAGTGACTTGCCCAGGGTCACACACCTAGTAAGTGTCTGAGGTCAGATTTGAACTCAGGAAGATAAATCTTGACTCCAGTCTGGGCGCTTCATCCACTGCACCATGTCGCTGCCCTGTGGCACCCTCTTTGCAGCTTTATCAGTATTGCTTGAACTCAGCAAGAGGGCAGAAGGAGGCTCAAGGAATGAAGTCATTACCAGAGACCAGCCTAGTGATTGGAGGAGGAGGTGAATGAAGATGAGGATGATGATGATGACAAAACAGTAACTGGCATTTATATAACGCTCTAAGGTCCACGAAGTGCTTTCTATCCATGACCTCATTTGAGCCTTATAATAGGAGACCAGACTTTCTATTCCTTCTGGCTCTGCCACTCACAATTTGACCTTGAGCAAGTGACTTTCCTTCCCTAAGTCTTAACTATCTCTTTCACACAATAGAGATAACAACCCTGGAAGGACTGTTGTACGGTTCCAGTGAGATAATATTGTTCCCATGATGGGAGGTTGGTAGGATTCAATACTAGCTGACTATAACATCCCCATTTTACAAGTGAGGGAACTGAGGCTGGGAGAGGTTAACGTGGTAGAAATAATAAAAAGGCGGTGAGTGGCAGACCTAGGATCTGACTGTAGGCAGGACTTCTGGCTGCAAGTCCCAGGCCTTTTCTACTTCAGAATGTTTCCTGTGCAGAATCCACAAGAGAACATTTGGGAAAATGAAGGGGTTTGTTACAGGAGTAAAGGGTCATGGCCCTTTCACAGGCTATCATCAAGAAATACCTGGAGCTGAATGGCACCGTGACAGGGGCCTTGCTGGTGGCCATCGGTGGCTTTCGTCTCTGTTGGATGAGCCCATGGCAGATCGAGGCGATACGCCCTGTGGAGTTGAGGTGAGTGCGCCTGGGGAGAGCACCCCAACCCAATGAGAGCCTGGATTGGGCTGGTTGAGGGTTGGGTCCCAACCTAACTAGGCAAAGGCCCCATATTCTGGACCACTGGGCAGAGCTTCCTGGAGTAGATGGTGCTTCCCAAGATTGAGTCAATAGGCTTCTAGAATGCCAGAGATTGGGAGAAACCTCGGGGGTCATCTAGTCTAAACCTCTCATGTTACAGAGGAAGAAACTGAGGCCAAGAAGGTGACTTTTCTTGCCCAATGTCACGCAGCTTAGACAAGTGCCAAAGTTGGGATTCCAATCCAGATTTGGGTCTTGAATGTTGAGTTTTAAAGAGAGCTCAGGATTCTGCAGGTGGAGGGGTGGAGTATATTCCTGGTCCTCTAGATCTTTTTTTGGGAAGACTCAGAAAAGATGGAAATTAACCCCATATCTCCCCCTACCTCCCCATACCTTTGGACAGCTCTGCTTCCCCTCCTATAAACCCAGAAAGGGGGCTCACTGCTCTCCCATTGGGCCCCACAGTCATGCCCATGTGACCATGACTATAGATCTCCCAGGAGCTCACATAGCAAATTAATAAGGCAGCTAGGTAATACAGTGAATAGTGTTAGAATTAGAATCAGAAAGATGAGAGTTAAAATCCTGCCTCAGATACTAGCTGTGTGACCCTGGTCAAGTCATTTAACTATTCCCAGCCTCAGTTTCCTCATTGCAAAAATGAAAAGGTCAGACTCAATGGCTTCCAAAATCTCTTCTAGCTCAAAATCTATGACCCCATGATCAGATAATAAGAATAATAAGGGCTTGAATTTATATGTCAACTTACAATTTATGAAGTCCTGTGACGTAGGTCATGCAAATATCATTGTTTTCATTTTACAGGCAAAGAAACTGAGGCTAAGAAAGTTGAAGTGACCCGACCAGGGTTGCAAGGCCAGGAAATGTCAGAACTGGGATTTGAACCCAGGTCTTGGGACTGTGATACTATTGCTTTCTACTGTCCTAGGCTGCCTCATTTCTACTTAGAGAATCACCTTTCCCTGGCATGGCATAAAGTGGGGGGAAATGAATTGCTTTAGAAAGAGAAATGAAATCAGAGAGCTAGTTAGCCCCATAGGATGAATACCTGGGAGGTGGTATGAGGGCATGGAAAAGGTGGCAGAGTGGGAACCTGTCAACCCCACCCTAATTCTTCTTGCTCCCTCTAGGTGGGCAGGGGCGCTGGACATCTCCTCCTGTGCGCAAGACAGGAAGGATGACCTATATGAGAAAGCCAAGGAGGCCTTTTCTGGGTCCAATGGCACAATCACCTACTACCATTACATCCGGCCCTATCTAGGTAAGCTTTGCCTAGAACAGATCTCCATTTTCTCCCCAATATCCCCAGAAGCAAGTCTTATACTTATACCCAGCCCTACCTTATAGCTTGTTAGATTTTTCTCTCATTACTTCCTTAGAGATGCGTACTCCAAACTAGCCAGGCCGGCCTCCTCACTACCCCCTGAAGACTTCTGTACTTTAGCCACAATCATTGCCCATGCTTTGGAATGCCTTCAGCTCCATGTCTATCTCTCATCTGAACCCTAAATTACATGATCAGACACACGAGGAGGGCCTGAATAAAAGTGGTAGTTGTGTGAATAAAGAAAGGATCTGCACAATCAGTGTTGCAAACTGGAAATGGCAAGATTTAGCAACTGGCTGCCTATGTGGCGTGAGGGAGAGGAAGGAGGACACCTTGTTGACTGGAAGGGTGGTGTTACCTTTGACCGTGAATAATGAAATTCGGAAAAGGGAAGGATTTTGGAAGGAAGATAATGGATTTGGTATTGGACATGGTGAATTTGAGTTGTCTCTGGGACATCATGGGTGTCACCCCATATATCCAATCTGTGATCAAGTCTTCTCTTTTCTACCTTACTGGTTCTCATCTGCCTTCTTTCCACTCACACAGCTGCGACCCTGATAAAGGAAGAAGACTCTGATCCTATCCTTGGGGAAGCTCACAGTCTTAGAGGGGAATGGGGGCTGGAGATGGACCTAGGAGATGATACGGACATGGGAAAGTTAGAGACCAACCCAAATTCAGATTCAGCATTTAGTAATGTAAATATTAATTCAATACTAATATAAATTCAACCAAATTCAAATACCAACGCAACTTGAAATTCAAGTCTTTATTAAGTGCTAGCTAGGTATTAGTGTAGGTACAGGAGACTAAAAGATCGTAAAAAGACACAATCCTTCCCTTCCAGGGGCTTACCTGAGATGATACAATATATAAATGGATAAGTATAATATAAGGCAAGAAATGATGGGGACCAAATTGAGATCCAGACAAAGTATTCAAGGAATATTTGAAGAGGTAATCAATACTTTTCCCCTGGGGGAATCAGGGAAGACTCTTCAGAGGAGGATTCTAAAAATAGGAGATGAGGGAATGTATTCTAGACCCAAGGATGATGGCCTGTACAAATGAATAGAGGCAGGAAATAGATGTTAAGTTTGGAGAACAAAGTGTTTTTTAGAAGATTGATATGTAATAAGGACGGAACCTTATATAGGGTGAGCTTCAAATGTCAGGCTAAAGAGTGCCTAAGTTTTCAGTGTTGAAGTTAAGGGGAGTATAAAATCACTTTGGGCTGGATAATCATGAAAGGCTTCCTGAGAGGAGGAGAAGCCTGAATTAGGCCTTGAGGTTTTGGGTGCCCTTCCTTAATGTTTGTTCTAGAGCCACACAGAAGGTGCTTGAGTTTTGCCTCTGGGAGAGGAGCTGATGGGTAGAAAGCTATCTAGAGAACCTAAGGCAGAAAGAGGAGCTGGAAATCTGGATAATTCTTTTTTTTTGGGGGGTGAGGCAGTTGGGGTTAAATGACCTGCCCAGGGTCACTAGTAAGTGTTAAGTGTCTGAGGTTGGATTTGAACTCAAGTCCTCCTGGCTCCAAGACTGGGGCTCTATGCACTGCGCCACCTAGCTGCCCTAAAATCTGGATAGTTCTGCAGGAGATCCACAGATCTTGGATAACAGGGAGTTGGTTAGACTAGTTATAGAATGCCTGTTGTTTTTGCTGGATCCTCACTCTTGCCTGGGGAAGAAAATTCCTATTTTCAATTCCTATTTTTATTTGGCTTTCAGTCCTGGGGATTAGGAATAATAGGGGAATTTAGGTTTAATGTTAGGAAAAAACTTCCTACCAATGGAGCTGTCCAGAAAGGGTATGGACAAGTGGTTATCAGTTCCTCCTGCTTAGAAGTCTTTAAGCAGAGGCTGGAAATCACTTGCTGGATCTGTTATATGGGGATTCCTTTTGTGTATGCATTGGACTAGAGGGATGGAACTTCCAGGTCTCAAATTCTGTGATTCTCTGATTATTTTTAGAATCTAAGGGGGTCTTATCCACACTAGCTTAAGCTTCCATCCTTAAGACCAGCTTTCCTTTCCAACCAGGACCATTCTGCTTTGGCCCTGGGGACAATTTGAGGGCTGACCCCCAGATCTATTCCTCCTCTGTCTCCCCAAGACTCCAAGCTCCCTGAAGGCAGTACTATATTTGTGGCTCCTCTATCTCTCCTAAACTGTGTGCTCTATGGTCTGGAGCTAAGAATTCTGAGCTGGTGGAGAGTGGGCCAGTTTAGAGCTCCCTCCTACCCCGTTAAGCCTGGGGCTGTTTCCTCATCCTCTTTCTCCTCTCCCCACAAACCCCAAACAGGGAGATGAGGAGGGTATCTCTGTTCATACTAATTTAGGTGGTGCACCTGTGGAAGACCTGAAGCACCTGTCTCGGGCCAATATTTCCATGGACATTGATACATTCACAAGTCTCAATCCGGAGGTGCTACAGGTAAGTCCCAGCATGGGCCTTCCTAACATTATTCAGTAGACTGGGAAAGAGATGTCATTCAAAAACCACTTGGCATGTACCATGTACAGGGTTCTGAGGGAGAGAGGAAAATGAATTAGATATGAGCCCTGCCTTCAGGGAGCTTATTCTTACAGGGGATTAAGACATGTGCAAATAAACTTGTAGCTATCTAGAGATGGATTGATAGTGTCATGGAGGCAATGAACATGATCTTGGACAGATTTCAGGAGATAGTAGAGAACAGAGGGCCTGGTGTGTGATGGTCTATGGGGTCAAGAAGAGTCAGTCACGACTGAATAATAAATCTAAAGTCAGCTGGTGGCTTAGTGGACCTGGGCCTGGAGTCAGGAGGACATGAGTTCAAATCTATCCTCAGACTCTTACTAGCTATGTGACATTGTGTAAATCACTTAATATCTCTGTGCCTCAGTTTTCTTATCTGTAAAATGAGAATAGTGCCCCCAAATGGAGAAAATAGCATCTATCTCCCCTGGTTGGTGTGAGGATCAAATGAGATAATATTTGTAAAGTACAGCACCTAACGCATGGTAGGTGCTTAATAAATACTGATTTCCTTCCTTCCTGTAAGTACAAAGTAATAATAACAGCTTGCATTTTTTTGTTGGAGAATTTTGTTATAACAAACAAAAATGTATAAGCTCTGAAAAGAGTTAAGAAAAACAACACAAAAAAAGAGATTGTGAACTTATGGGCTTTAACCTTAACAAAGTTAGCTCCAATCACTGATTGTATGTGACCAGAGTTTTTTGTAGCCATCTGATGTTGCCTTCATTGACATAGTTGTAGTCGGGGTGTAGACCCTTTTGTTTCTGCTTTATTTTCTCCACATTACTTTCTCTAAGTCCTTCCCACATTTCTTTGAATTCTTCCTATTCATCACTCATCCTGGCACAGTATTGTTCTGGACAGCGTGTGAGAGCCAACATGTCTCAGGGAATAGAAGATTGCATATGGTGGTCTGGAGACCTGAGTTTATATCTTGCCTCAGACTCTTCCTAGCTGTGTGTGTGTCATCACAGGCACTCCTGTTAATGTTTCAGAGTCCCTGTTTCCTCACATGCAAAATGGAAATGATATTTGTATTACAGCTCATAGAATCATTGTGAGGAAAGTGCTTTGCTTAAAGTACATAAGGTACTATGTAAATGTTTTTATTAATATTAATAACATTCTATTCCCAGTATATACCACAGTTTACTCAATCATGCCCTAGTCATTGTGTATGCATTTTGTTTCCAACTTTTTGCCAGTATAAATAAAACTGCTATGAATATTTTTGTAATGATAGATCTTTTCTTCCTGTTAATAACCCCAAACCTAAGAGTGGGATCATTGGGCCAAAGGTTATGAATGTTGTAACTTTTATTATAGAATTACATATGGCTTTCCAAAATGGTTAGACTAATTCACGGCCATGCCAACAGTGAATTAGTATGCCTGGCTGTTTCCTCATAGTTGTTTGGTCATGTCCAATTCTTTGTGACCCCATTCAGAGTTTTTTTGGCAAAGATACTAGAGCAATATCTCCAGCTCATTTCACAGATGAGGAAACTGAGGCAAATAGGGTTAAGTGACTTGCTTAGGGTCACACGCTATTAAGTGTCTGATTTGAACTCAGGAAGATGAACATGCCAGATCTGAACTCAGGAAGATGAGTCTTCCTGATTCCAGGCCCCCAACACTCTATCTACTGTGCCACCACCTGGCTGCCCTTGTTTTCCCCTAGCCCCACTAATACTGAATTTTTCTTTCTTTGTCAACTTGATGGACATAAAGCAGGGGCATGCTGGTAGATGTTTAATTACTGCTGTCAGAAAAAATAAATGTATGCATGAAATATTTTTAAGTTAAATCTGCAGTATTAATCTTTTTCAAGTCAACAAAACAATAAATCGAGTTCTGAGTCATGGTGTTTGTCCAAGGTGTAAGTGCTCACGCTGAAAACTTAACAGTTGGCTGAGAGCCAGTTCAAGCTGGCTCCAGCGCACCCTTAGTGTAAGGTGATGCTTCAGAGTTGGTTTAATGTGTACTTCTCTGATAATTAGTGATTTTTAACCCTTTTTGAGATGTTTGTTGACAGTTTTTGTTTCTTCTTAGAAAACTGCCTCTTCATACCTTTAATTACTTAGGTATTAGGGAATGGCTCTTCATGTTATATATTTGCATACATCCCCTATGTATTTTGGATGTTGGACTTTTAACAGAAATTTTTAATGCAGTTTTTTTCTCTATTCTGTGTCTTTTCTTCTTGTTCTAGCTGGGTTTGTTTTATTTGTATGTAACACTGGTTGATATCACTATGGAAGGTAAAGTCAGCCGGCTAGCATTCTATTCCTTTCAAAGGTGGATGGAACTAAATCCTCCTAGGCCTTGCTCATGTCTTTCTTAGGGGGTGGTTCAGGTGGTGACCTCTTTGGTCACTTCCCTTTACTCTCTGTCCCCTTTCTCTGGAGATTTAATCAGTCATGTCCTATTAAAAACAATTAGTTTAATTTTATCCTAGGGCGCTCAGGTCTTCGTGTCTCTTTCCCTTTTATTTTCTGGAGTTTATATTAGATGAAATAGCTCAGAGACTCTAATTAAGAAAATTACTAACATTTGGATAGAGGTTGGGCTCTCTGTCCTAATTTAAATGCCTAGCTTCCCCATTCTTTTTCTTAACACAGACTAATAGTACAGTACAAGCCTTCATGAGGGATCTCAGGTTTCTTTATACATAAAGCAAAATCTAGATAAAGGAAAATATTAAATAAAATATAAAATTAACTAGAATATTAAATATTAAATTTTAATTTGAAAATTAAAAATATTAAAAATTAAATAAAAGGGGAGAAGGGTATATAATTAGTACCTGTAACTGGACAGACCCAGGGAAGGAAAGATGTGAAATGAGTAAACCTTTTAGAACTTCTCACAGTTCTTGGAAACCAATTACAGCTGGCATCTTGAGTCTGAATTCTTTGTTTCCAAGATTCCTGCAGGGACCTGTTGGCTCATTTGATATCCCCCTTCTTTGTATCAGGCCAGGAATCCTTTTCTCTCTTTGCCCATTGCCCCCCGTGCTACTGCTTCTGTCTAGTATGACTCCTTAGGTTCAGGGAGGGTCTGAGAAAATGATCTCCCCCAGTGGCTTAGCTCCTCAGCAATGGGGGAGGCAGGAGAGGGAGGGAGGCTCTTACTCACTAGTCATTGCCCCTGAGCACGGAGCCCACTCTCCAAAGGCTACCTGCCTGAACCATAAATGATACATAGAGCAGAGGGTGGGGCAGGAATGTTGGAGGAAGGGTGAATTTTCTCAAAGTCACCTGTTGTTGGCTGTTAGGTTATAATTGTCACAAAGAGATGGTGACTGAAGCAACAGGGGAGAAGATCTGGAGTTTGCAGGGCAGTGGGAGGGGGCAGAGTGGGGGACCATTAGGAGATAATGGATGAAGGGCAGGTGTGGGTTGTATTGAAGCTGTCCCACCATTGGCTATTGTGGGGAGGATCAGATTTGACTCATCTATCCAGCTCTAACCAGTTAATCACATGGTCATGCCTCGGTTCCCTGGGTCCCTGGGGTCCCCCATTCCTACTTCGGAGACTGTTGCTTAATACCACACAGCAAAGACAAACTTAATTCAAAAACTTTTTGTTAAATGCCTGCTATGCACAATGCACTGTGCTAGGCTTTGGAGATGAGTTGAAACCAGTCACAATCCCTGCCATCAAGGAGCTTATTATAATTTAGTGGGAGAGGTGAGACAAATAGACAAATTACTATAATACAAGTCATGTGCTGAATGTCCAGGAAAGGTCCAAATAGTGAAGTAGACAAGATTAAAAGAGGAATCACTTCCAGTGGGAAAGGATCAGGGAAGACTTCATGGAGAAGGTAACAACTGAGCCAGGCCTTGAAGGAAAAGATTTCAAAAGGCAGAGATGTGGAAGGAGAATGTTTCAGGTAGAGGGGACAGCGTCAACAAATGTACTATACCTGGAAAGCCAGGCTAAGGAACGTGTGTACTTTATCCAGTGGGCAATGGGGAGCCACAGAGGTTTTGGAGCAGAGGAATGATGAGAGTGGACTTGTGTGTTGCAGTCCTACAAAGATTACTTTAATAGTAGGGTGAAGGATGAATTGAAGGAGGATAGGCTAGAGGCAGGGAGACAGTTAAGAGCTTATTAAAATAATCCAAATGAAAACAGGCCAGAACTAGGGGGTGGTAGTAGAAAGGAAAGCACAGACTTGAAGGATGTTACAGAGGGTGGGGATGAAGGCTACTCATAACGAGGGAGCTCCAAAGATATTTGTTAAATAGAATTGAACCTTGCAGCCAGGTTGGCTGTCCAGACAAAAGTTATACAAGCCAGAATTACAGTTGTGTAGGGGGAAATGCAGGAGGATGGACTAGATGACCTTTTCACAGTTTCTCCCTTACTTTCAAGTGGATTATTCACCAAGCATCTTTTTTTTTTTTAAGACAAGCTAGGTTTCTCCCCTTCTGTGCCCAGTGGGAAGCAAGTTCACTTAAATATCAGGCTGAGCCAGACAGAATGAGGAAGGTCAATGGGGGTGGCCCCTTGGCCAGACTAATTGGTAGTAATAATGGCCCCATGTGTTTGTATAGCACTGAACTGTTTACAAAGTATTTCCACCCCAAGAGTAGATAGAAAAGTTCTTTGTAAAGCTGTAAAGGATTATATAAACATGAGATGATATGTAATATTTACCCTGCCTCCTTCACAGGGCTTTTAGAAAGGGTGTCATTATTCCTATCTGACAGGTCAGGAAACTGGGACTTAGAGGAAGGGAAATAGTTTGCCCAAGGTCATGCAGGGACTAGATAGTGGCAGAGATGGGAGCAGAATACAGATCTCCCAAGTCCCAACCCAGGGTTCTTTGCATTGCATCACTCCTTCAAATAAAGCAATATGAAGTTTTTTTTAAAAGTGCATTTTGGTTTGAGGTGATACCAGGTCTATTATTCATTGGCTTAAGGGCTGCAAATGGTATTCCCATTTATGGGTGTAGGAGGTGTGGGCAGGAGAGTGCCTGATTAAGGAAGGGAGGGTCTCAAATTCCTTTTCCCCATGCAGAACCTGAGTCTCAGCAACGTGGCAAAATTACTTGGGCGAAATGTGGGGGATCTTTGGAAGGCCCGGAGCAACCCAGCTGTAAGCTTTTGGCTCCAAAGCCAAAACCAGTCAGCCCTGGCGGCCCTGGGGTTGGAGGACACCCCAAAGCAGCTGCGCCCCAACCCGGCCACCACTGGGAAGCCTCTCCCTACCTGGATCACTGACAAAGGGCACAAGTCCTCTGCTTCACCCAGTGAGCATATCACTCTCGCAGCTACCTCTGGTAGGTGTCCAAGGCCCCAGCAACTCCCAGCCAGAAACTGCAGGTCTGAAGTTAGACTCCCACACCCCCTATTCACAACGAAGCTTCAGGCTCAGTCTCTTTGTTTACAGTTTCCATGGTGGCATCTGTGGCCTCCTTGGTCTTTCATTATTATTAAAGGGGCCATCCCTTGACTCACTTAAATAGCCCCAATCACTGAATGGGTGTTGCCTCAGTCAAAGTGAGAACTCGGAAGGTCAAGGTCTCTCATTGCAGCCTGGGCCATTTCCAGTTCATCCTGATCTATATCTGGCCACTGGATCCAGATGGCTCCGGAGGAGAAAGTGAGGCTGGTGACTTTGCACAGCCCTCCCTCATTCAAATCCAATTCAGTTTTAAGTGATGGCATCACCTTCCTGATGTCATGGTCCTCTTCCAGAATGAAGGACAAACAATAACTACAATCACCATGGCGTCTCACACCTCCTGTCCTTTGACAGTATTGTTGTTTCTCTCTCCTCATGCCACCCCTTTATTGACACCGCTATATCCCATATCAACTCTCATTTTGCATGGAGACTTCTATTCAGTAGGAGGTTGTGTGGGAAGGAGGTAAAAGGCTGCCCAGTCACTTTCAGCTTCCAGAAAAAAAATATTTAAGCTCTAGTACACATTTTCCTCTTCTATAACCAGGGAAGGTATGAGGCAGGGAGAGTCCAGGCTTAGGGAAAGAAGGGGCTGCTCGCTCAGGCTGGTCCTTTGCATGATTCTGAGAGGTGATGCCATCCGGAGTTAAGGGAGATGGGATGGGGATGAATTAAGAATGAAAACAACTATCAGCTGTTATCACATATCTTCATCATGTTCCTGGGAATGTTACGAATTCCAAGAACACCAGACACACCCACATCCAAATACAAGAAGTAAGCCACATTCCAAACTCAATAAGCAACAGTTTTTAAAATTTAAAAGATTTTAATTGCTTTTTTAAAAGAATATTTGTCCTCCCCCTCCAACATTGGTGTGATTAATTGTGAACTCCCTATATGTTTCCAAGACTCAAGCTGGTGCCAATTTCTCCTCCCTGTTCCTCCCTTCCAGGCTGCTGTGTCCTGGCACCACTCCACCTCTTCAGTGCTCTTGGCCTCCCGATAGGCCCTATCTTACTCATGAAGCATCTTTGATACTCCTGGACAAGAATTATCTTCTTTTACCAACCCCACCCTGGACTCCACCATCTTCTTTGAATCAAAAGTTTCCCTTCCCCAAAACATGGAATTCGATCTACAACTAGGACACGTATACTTCTCTGCTCAACTCAGAATAGACAAGGGTGCCAACCAGACTTGAGGCTGACTTTGGCTCTGACCTGATGATGGGCCTTGGCCTTTGGAGGTCTTGCTATTCTCAGAACCCTGGGAGTCCCCATTGGAGGAATGATGGCTGGACTGCTCAGAGACCTTTGTCCTTCCCTTGCCCCAGGAGTCGTCTTTACAAATGCTCTTACCACCCCTGGACTCCAGCCAGGCAGAATTTGGACTGAAGGCTGTTTCTGCGCCAGTTCCTTGGGGAAAGCTAGGCTCTTCACCTGAGCTGGCTAGGCTACCCTCAGCAAGGCAGCTCTCCACTGTCCAGAAGCTGGAGACAGAGGGCAAACCACCTGGGGCAGTCTGTCTTTCTCAAGTCTTCTAGGGTCCAAGAGGGCATAAATCCAGGCTGAGCATGCTTGGAAACAGCTTGAAGGCCATAGAAGATCAGGCCTGCCCTAGCAGAAGCCTCACTGCACCTCTGCCAAGAACTGTGTTTCTCTGAGTGGGGGAAGCTCAAGTTTTGCTATCTTTATGGTCTGATTTTAATAAATGTGAGGTTCTCCTCAAGCTTGTCAATCACTCCTTCTTTGTCCTGTGCCTAGTCCCTTAGGGCCAGATAGAGTCCTTCTAGGATCCCAGTAGAGGTCCTGCCCTGGTGGTCATCAGGCACTTCCCATAAAACTTTGCTTGGTGAATCAGCCAATCCTCCCCTCCTCTCCCTCTTCCTCCCCCTACACCCTGCAAGTCAGTGAGTCCAACAGCACTGGGGGTAGGAGTAGGGAGCTAAAGCCTCAGGCCCCCAGTGGTATATCAGTATGGGTTACTGACCTAGGTGAACAATGAGTTGGGTCCCCAGCATAGGAGTCTGATACCCTATCCATACATGCCTCACAGGAGTCTGATACCTTATCCACGCACGCCTCACAGGAGTCTGATACCCCAACCATGCACACCTCACAGGAGTCTGATAGCTTATGCATGCATGCCTCACAGGAGTCTGATACCCCATCCATGCACGCCTCACAGGAGTCTGATACCTTATCCACGCACGCCTCACAGGAGTCTGATACCCCAACCATGCACACCTCACAGGAGTCTGATAGCTTATGCATGCACGCCTCACAGGAGTCTGATAGCTTATGCATGCACACCTCACAGGAGTCTGATACCCCATCCATGCATGCCTCACAGGAGTCTGATACCTTATCCATGCACACCTCACAGGCTCTCAAGCCGGGAAGCAAAGTATCAGGAAAGTGCGGGCTTAGAGAAGAGGATAGAGAAGAAGGACCCGGCTGTTGCTTGGGTCTGTCCAAGTTCCTCCTCTTCCTCACCTAGGGTCCACCACACAGATACTGAAGCAGCACCACCTGCCCCTTCTGCTCCTCCCTGTGTGAGGGGTAGGCATGTCAAAAGGACACCCCAGCCTCCTTCTGAATCAGCACCAGCTATCCATGAGCCATCATACCAGCAATCCACCAAAGGGGTCAAAGGATCTTCAGAGACAGAGCCCAAAAAGTCAATCTGGGGGTGGGAACAGGACCTCCCAGCTTCTGTTCCTAAGGGTTTTTACAGACCCCGGGCTCCTTTTAGCCCCTACTTTTCATTACAACAGTACTTTGAACCAGCAGGGCCCACCTATAGATTAGTGTACAGGACTCCTGCTCTCTCAGGGCTTAGGGTTTGCAAAGGGAAGGGGCTGAAGGCAATGGAGAGTACGTGAGCGTCAGAGTGAGGGGCACTCACCTGTCACTCCCTGGCAGATTCTTACCGTTCCCTCCCACTTCTGCTCAAGTCAGGTTCAAGTCCCAGCTCTCTTAGTAACTCGTCCAGTGAGTTTGCTCAGATCACTTCCTACTTCCCTCTCTGCATAATGAGGTGTAAACAATGACTTTAAAGATCCCTTCCTGCTCCATTCTATTAATACCATCTGTCCTGCTTAAAAGCTCACATTTGTCTAGTTCTTGGTTGGGGCCAAGCTTCAGGGAGATGACAAGGTTCAGAGTGTAAAATTATTTCTTTTATTTTTACAACTTTCTGAAATGAGAGAGGGCCAAAGCCCTATGCAGTTCCCCACTCCCCCCCCCACCCCCCAAGCAGGAAGACTGTTATCTAATTTTTATTCCTGAGGCTGAGGATGATGTAACCATTGGGGATCCCCCCGGTGAGCCCAATGCCCAAGTCGTACAGGCTCTCCTGAGGCTGCTTGAGGATCCATGCCCGGACTGGAGAGTTTTTCTCCTCGGCCTTCAGCCCCATTAGGTTTTGTCCCAGGAGTCCACGTACCTCCTCTGGGGTCAGTGGCTGAAGGACAAAGCCAATATCTTGTTGAGCATCCCAGAGCCCAGCCTTGGGATTTCTAAGGAGACCCCCTGGCCCTTCCCTAGGATAGTTTAGATCTAGTTGGGGTGGAAAGAGGTCCACATGCGCATATATCCTTCCCCTACTCCCATCCACAATTAATTAGGTCTGGAGGGCCTGGGATTTAAACCAAGATCAAAACTGAGTGAGAATTTAAGCTGCCTCCAACCAAGCAACTGGAGCCTCTGGGCCATTGCCATACCATCCTCAACCTCAAAGGGACCCCATGTGCTGGTGCTTCCCTCTGACCTCATGTGTTAGGGTTCCTCAGTAGACCCTCAGTAGACCCTCCCTCCCCCTTTGGCCATCCCCGATAGGCTGAAGGTTCTAACTGTATACCAAGATGGCTTCTTCTTGTAGTTTCTTAAATGTTTCTATGTCCATGTTAACATTCTTTTGGCTGAGGTCTTTAAGATCCTGTGTTGGGGCTCCACCTAAGAGGAGGGGGGGGGAGGAGAGGAGAGGAAAATTTGAGTCCAAGGCAAGACTCGGGTCCCTGGCCCCTCCTACCAGCAGCAAGCAGGATGATGCCAGCCTTACTGAGAATATCAGATCAAATGCAAAATGTCAGGACTGGAAGGGACCTTAAAAAATAGTCCAGAGGAGGAAACCAAAGTGATTTGCTCAAGATCACACAGCAAATTAGCAGTGGAGCTGAGATTAGAACCCAGGGCAGTCCGGTGTGGTAGAAAAAACATTAGACGGTGATACAGGAGAAGTGATGTCTAGTCCCCGCTCTTGTCATTCACTCACTGTGTGATTAATGATGAATTGCTTTCTTTTTCTGAACCTCAGTTTCTTCTTTTGTAAAATACAGGGGTTGGACTAGATTTCCAAGGTCCCTTCCAGATTTGATGTTCCATGACTTTTTTTTGGCCTCTCCCTCTACCCTGTCTGTAGTGGGTCAAGGGGGAGAAGGTGGTAGAGATTTAAGGGTAACTCTGAGAGGTTATGGGGCTCTGAAATGCTGAGTTTCACTCCTGGCTCACCTAGGACCTGCCTAGACTTGAAAGAAGAATCAAGTGGAGGCAGTAGTCCATGGGAAAACCAGAGCCAAGCCCAGTCCACTTCTCCCCTTCTTTTTATTCCTTTCCCCTAGTTCCTCTGAAATAGAATCTCAGAGTTGCGAATGACTTCAGAGATCACCAGCTACCACCTTACAACAGTTCTGACAAGGTATCAACCAGTCTTTGTTTGAAGTCCTGTAACGATAGGGAACTCACTACCTCTTGTGGCAACCCATTTTGCATCTCATGGGATAAAAGGTTCATATATATAGACCTGAAAGGGGCCATATAGGTTAGCTAATTCAACCTTTAAAGAAGTTACCCAAGATTACACAGGTATTACATATCAGAGGTAGGAGAGGTTACCAAGATTACATAGGTAACAATTGTCAGAGCTGGGATTCAAACCCAGACCTTTGATTCCATATCTGGTGTTCTTTCCATTCTACCACATTGCCTCTCAAATTAATTGTTGGGAAGTTCTTCATATCAAACCAATATTCCTCCATTGGCCTTTGTTCCATCATCTGACACCAAGCAGAATAAATTAAATTCCTATCGCCCTACAATATTGAAGGAAATGATTATAGGATCATAGGACCATGGATTTAGAGCTGGAGGGGTCATTTTGTCCAACTCCTTCATTTTATAGATGAAAAAACTCCGAGGAGCTCAGAGAGTTCTGTGACCTGCCCAAAGTCACAGAGGTAGAATGTGACAAAGCTGGGAAGGCCTACTGTCCTTTTTGATCAAGCATATGTTTCCTTTCCATCTATCCCTCACCCCCAACAAATTCTTCCCCTCTCCCCCTGTTCTCTTGCTCCTATTTCCCCATACCACCCCTACCACCCATCTCATCCCTGCCTTACCTAGATAAGGTTGGATTAGCATGTAGTATTCTGGGAATGCTATCCCTTGGAAGGCAGTCTTGGCCTTTGGATAGAGGATATTCTTCTGTGACTGAGAGCAGGCAGATGGGTTCAAGGGCTCGGCCATTCTGGGAGCAGCAGAGAGAAGAGGAAGAGCTAAAACATCAGCAGTTACTGATGCCTCCCACCTCAACCCAGCACCAAGGACAGGGCTGCCACACAGTCAGGCAGAAAGGTACTGTCCTAAGATACAGATAGATAGAAAGATATAGACATATACAAACATACATATACAGATATACACACACATACATACACATACATAAATATATGTATATATATATATATATATATATATATATATATTTTTTTTTTTCCCTTTCTTCCTAGAATCTTCCCCTTCCACACTCTTTCTATTAGATATCTATTTGGTCATCCCCTCTCTACCCAGAGCTTACATAAATTAAGAGAAAGAGTCTAAATGCCTAAAGCAAGTTGCAGAGGGATATAGAATGATAGGCCATAGTGTGCTGTAGCAGAGGACCCTGGGGTAGGAGTCAAAAGCCCTGGGATCTAGACCTAGCTCTGATATTAACTCACAGCATTACCTTGGAGAAGTCTTTTCCCCTCTCTGACCCTCAGTTTCCCCACTGTGAAATGAGATGGGGATAGACAAAATGACTTCTAAGGTCCACTTCAGCTATGATGTTTCAGGTTTCTTTGATTTTCCAGAGCCTGAAAATCTCATCCAAATGGCATGCAGCACCAGGCATCTTAAATAAAAATGGCCTGGTCTTGTTTGCCGGCATCTAACCTTGGCTTTCCTTGAGTCTAGCATTGCCTTAGGAGCCATCTTGGTATTCATCCACCTCTTAGCTTATTCCTCACTTTGATTCTCTCCTTTTTATCATGAAACCATATGTTACATGATCTCAGCTGGGGCAAGGTTATCCTTTGACACCTACCTAATTGATTCACTGTCCCACTTGCAGCGGTCTTTCCAAATCATTTCATCTCTCCTTAAACTTCCCATGGCTCCCCCCTCCCCAACTATGTCAGCTGAGTGCCTTCCCTCACTTTTCACTGAAAAAACTGAGGCCATCTGAAGAGAATGCCCTCTTCTCCTGGCTTCCTCATCTCCTATCACTCAGATACCTGCTGCTGCTCTCTCCTCTGCCCAGCTCACATGATGAGGTGACCCTTCTCCTTGAAAAAGGTACTCCTTTTTATGTGTATAAATGACCCCATTCCATCGGTCTTCATCAGCAGATTACTGCCTCTATCAATTTCA